GATCATTTGTGACCAAATAGTATAAAATTGTAACATTAATATATTTAATTAATAAAATATATATTTATTTAATCATTCATAAATAAAATTTAATTAATATATGATTTTTGAAGTTTTAAACCTTATTTCTTAATTTTGAAATGGACCATACTTAATCGCTTAAATATGAAAATTTTCCTTGTTAAAATCTAAAAAAAAAAAAAAAATCTGATTTTTATCAAAATCAATTATGGGCTAAATAACGTGTTATATGTCTCATAAATCTTAACTAAAAAAGGATTTAGTTAAAATAACTAATTAAGTTGATTCCTACTCGAGCTCATAAAACTTTTTTACTTGCATTATTTTTCTTTACCTTGGCAAAAATTCCTCTCCATGGTCCGTTCGAGTCGAATTTCTCATTAGTAAGATGTGTCGAACCGAAAGCATATTTTTAATATTTGCACTTTATAAGGTCACACAATACTATTCAAATGCTTTTCATATGCTAATGTTGTTTTTCTTCCGGTGAAAATAAATAAAATGAAATGAGTTGATCAATTAGCAAGACACGTCGTACTATACAATATTATTAGCTAGAGTTAGGCTTCTCTCTCTCTTTTCGTCGGCTAAATTAAGTCCTTGTTTGATTCTCATTCTTTGGAAAAAAAAAAAGAATTTTTCTACAGTATTTTGATATCATTTCAACCATACATTCTCCAATAAAATAATAGTACACGCAAATTCAAAATTTTTCCTTATTTTTTAGCTACACATTTTCTATCAATACACTATTCAAAAATTCATTTCCCCCCTCAAAATGGGGCTCAAACAAGGGCTAAAGCAACGGTCTTCAACCTTTGGCTTTCGAAATGACAAAATTGTTCTTAAATTTAAGGCTCTGTTTGAGCAACATTCTTTCAAAAAAATCTATTCTTAAATAATGATTTGACATCATTTTCACTACACATTTTTCAATAAAATAATATTACATATAAATTCAAAATTTTTTATCATTTTTTACCACATATTCTACATCAATCTACAATTTCAAAATACATTCTTTTACAATAATGTGGGTCAAACAAACACTAAATAAACAATAAAAAAAAAAGAAAATAATATAATAAAAACTGCAAAGTAATTGAAATTTGAAGATCCATTTCTACACTACCATAAAAAAGAGAATGAGAGTTTACTGTTCATTTTTATCACACTCATTTTCACACTTAACAGGTTTGGAAACTTGTTTGGCAACAGGAAAAATTCTATTCAACAATACTGTATGATTCTTTCTCCTAATTCTCACGCTATTAACGATCAACCATATCTTATATATTTAAATTTTTAAAATTAGATTAATAAACAAAATTATTGTAAGTAAAATGTAAAAATAAAAAATAAAAAAATATTCACTTCGTGCATGGAGAAAAAAATTTACGTCATAACATATAATTTTTCTTGAGCAAAATGATGTATTGAGAAAATTGTTGCAAAAAAATAATAAATAGTAATAAAATAATTGATTTTTTTTTTTAAAAAACGACTTATACGCATTTTTTAACACATACGTTAACGTCCGTTTAACTATTTTCGATAATCATCTAAATCATTCGATGTGTCTATGATATAGTTCTTGAAATGATTTTCGAGAAAATGTAAAACATTTATCGATTCGACTATCGTACAATTATTAATGAATTTTTAAAATTAGCTTATTATCGAAAATTTTGAAATATAGTTTGAAAATGCCTAATTTGACGTCCCGTAACATTTGCTACGATTAGCCGTTTCACGCACCGTTAATGACGTGCAATACTATGCTGCGACTACTTCAAAATGATATTAAAAATATAATATTTCAATTTCATTTGATATCCCGTAATGAGCCTATAAATGAATACAAAAATATAAGTTAAAAAAAAATTTAATTTGCCTAAACCTCTATGCACGGAGGTTTATAACCTCCATGCACAGAGATTTATGTAAAAAAAAAAATTTAACTTTTATTTGTAATACTTTTTTTATTAATATTTAATTTAAAAAAATTAAATATATCTAAATATTTACTTAAAAATATTGAAGTTAATATTTTTTTACCTATAAATAACTTTTACAACTATAATTTTTTTATTATTTTTAATTAACATGAAGTGATTTTTTTACTTATAAGTAACTTTTTATGCTCTAGATAGTTTAATCTTTTTATTAATATTTAATTAAAAAACTAAATATATTTAAATATTTATACTAAAAAAATTTTAAGTTCACATTTTTTTTATATAAGTAACTTTTGCAATTATAAGAGAATGGGGGATTAATATTTTTTTTTTTTACCTATAAGTAGCTTTTACAATTATAATTTTTTTTATTTTAAATAACTTGAAGTGATTTTTTTACTTATAAGTAATTTTTTATCTTTTAAATAGTATAATCTCTTCTTTTACTTTTAAATAACTTAATCGGTTTGGGAACTGGTTTGACAACATGAAAAATTCTATTAAAAAATACTGTAGGAATTTTGTCACACACCATTGTCCACTGCAATATTTCTCCCTTGTTTTGAATCTGACACACTATGCTCTTTCTCCTAATTCTCNATATAGAGAGAGAGAGAGAGAGAGAGAGAGAGAGAGAGAGAGAAAATTTTTTACATCATACCACATAATTTTTCTTGAGCCAAATGATGTATTGAGAAAATTGTTGCGGAAAAATAATAAATAGTAATAAAATAATTGATTTTTTTTAAGAAAAATGATTTATACGCATTTTTTAACACATACGTTTAATGTCCGTTTAATTATTTCGATATTCATTTAGATCATTCGATGTGTCTATGATATAGTTTTTGAAACGAGTTTAGAGAGAATGCAAAACATTTATCGATTCGACTATCGTACAATCGTCAATGATTTTTTACAGTTAGCTTATTATCGAAAATTTCAAAATATAGTTTGAAAATGCCTATTTTGACGTTCCGTAACATTTGTTACGATTAGCCGTTTCACGCACCGTTAACGACGTGCAATACTATGCCGCGACTACTTCAAAATAATATTAAGAATGTAATATTTCGATTTCGTTTGATATCCTGTAATGAGCCTGAAAATAAACACAAAAATATAAGTTAAAAAAAAACTAATTTAGCAAACCTCCTATAACCTCCGTGCACGGAGTTTTATGCGTGCGGGGAGTCCCCGCACCAATGTGCACTTTTTTTTGTTTTATTTGTAGTACATTTTTTATTAATATTTAATTTAAAAAAATTAAATGTATCTAAATATTTATTTAAAAATGTTGAAATTAATATTTTTTACTTATAAGGAACTTTTGCAATTATAATTTTTTATTACTTTTAAATAATTTGAAGTGATTTTATTACTTATAAGTAACTTTTTATGTTCTAGATAGTTTAATCTTTTTATTAATATTTAATTTTAAAAACTAAATATATCTAAATATTTATACTAAAAAAATTTTAAGTTTACTTTTTTTTTTTTATATATAAGTAACTTTTACAATTATAAGCTAATGAGGGATTAATATTTTTTTTAACCTATAAGTAACTTTTACAATTATAGGTTTTTTTTATTTTAAATAACTTGAAGTGATTTTTTTACTTATAAGTAATTTTTTATCTTTTAGATAGTGTAATCTCTTCTTTTACTTTTAAATAACTTAACCGGTTTGAGAATTGGTTTGGTAACAGGAAAAATTTTATTAAAAAATACTGTAGAAATTTTGTCACACATCATTGTCCACTGCAATATTTCTCCCTTGTTTTGAATTTGACACATCATGCTATTTCCCCTAATTCTCACACTATTAACTATCAACCATATCTTATATATTTAAATTTTTAAAATTATATTAATAAACAAAATTATTGTAAATAAAATGTCAAAAAAAAAAAATATTCACTCCGTGCATGGAGAAAAAAATTTACGTCATATCGCATAATTTTTCTTGAGCAAAATGATGTATTGAGAAAATTGTTGCGAAAAAATAATAAATAATAATAAAATAATTGATTTTTTTTAAAGAAAAATGACTTATACGCATTTTTTAACACATACGTTTAATATCCGTTTAACTATTTTTTATATTTATTTAGATCATTCGATGTGTCTATGATATAGTTCTTGAAATGAGTTTCAAGAGAATGTAAAACATTTATCGATTCGACTATCGTACAATCGTCAATGAATTTTTAAAGTTAGCTTATTATCGAAAATTTCGAAATATAGTGTGTAAATGCCTATTTTGACGTCTTGTAACATTTGCTACGATTAGTCGTTTCACGCACCGTTAACGACGTGCAATACTATGCCGCGAGTACTTCAAAATAATATTAAGAATGTAATATTTCGACTTCGTTTGATATCCCGTAATGAGTCTAAAAATGAACACAAAAACATAAGTTTTCAAAAAAAAAAAAAAAACTTTTATTTGTTGGACATTTTTTTATTAATATTTAATTTAAAAAAATTAAATGCATCTAAATATGCACTTAATAAAATGAGGCAATGAGCTTTTTACTATTCATTTTTCTGCCTTCCTTTTCACACTTTAACTAGATAATTATTGTTCACTAACCAGTTTCTTTCAATGTACAAAATATCTCTTCAACAAGTGCTTTAATGGTCCACTTCTCCCACACGATTCAGCATTTTAACCTCCTTCCTTTCCCTTTTCCTTTTCCTACATGGAGATAGGTTTTACAGCGTAGTGAGGGCTTGTCAGAGTCGAGATAACCCTAATTTTATTCCTTCCCTCTCCTTCGTAGAAAAGGTCGTAGCTCCCTTTCGTTCCATTAGAATTCCCATTTGCCGTAACCACAGCAGCAAAGTCTATGTCAGGTAAGTTTCTATTTTCTTTTGGTTTTGGGATCTCGTTCATTGCTTCTTTTTTGAAGGGAAGTGAGGATCTTTGTTAAGTTTTTTTATTCCGTTTGCACAAGCTGTTGAAGCTATTAATTTTTATTTTGGTATTGTTTTAGGTTCAACAACACATTGTTTGGGGTTTTGATACGAGATGATATGCTCTACTGAAGTTCAAGGGTTCAATTTTAGACTTTTCTGGTGTCTCTACGGGATCATTGTTCCTCAATCGAGGTTTCTTGTGATTCGATTTGTCAGGTGGTGATGTTGAATATTTGTCGAGCAAAGATTTTTGAGTTATGTAATTGAGATTGACTGGGTTATTTATTTCATTTGTAGCTTAAGGTGTAGTGTTGTATCAAGTGATGGCTCGAAATGTGCAACAATGCCTGAAGTGAAAATTCCTTTTGATTTCTGGTTTGATAAGGTGTTAAACCTCAATTTTGTGCACTATTTAGATTAATGTTGAATTTTTATATGGTTGATCAATTCAATATGAAGTTGAAAGGAGAATTAGGATCCATAATTTGCTAGCTGAAATTTGTGTAGACTCATGGCATATTAAGTGAATCAAGTTATGCGACGATCAAAACATGGGTATTTGGGATCTTCTAAACATTTCAGTCGAATCTGGAATGTTGTTTGGATTTATTAGTCATCAAATTCAATTCTGGTTTCCAATTTTATTCTGTTTCAAGTTTTAATTCTGAATATCATCTTTGACTTTGTTTAGTATTAAACTCATGGAAATTAGTGTATTGGCCTTTTTCCTCTAATTCTTGGAGACAAAATACTTATTATAGCACTTTATGAAACGGCAACCCATGTCTTATGTTCATGCCAAATTAGTTGGATTGTAATGGTGGGATCTATTGTCAAATGTCCTTTTTCATTTTTCTTTTGGAACTCTTGGTGAGCTTTTAGTATGTGGTGCTACTCTTGATTTTATAACTTTCAGATTATATCTTTTACATGGATGCATTTTTGTTCTTATTGTTTTCACTAATTAACTTTTGTGATATTCAATGCCAGAGCACACTTGATACTGCTTTGGTAGTGACGCTACTTGGCTCTTCTTTGCCAACTTGCCACTCTATTACTTTTATGAAATGGCTTCGCCCAAGGTAAGCCCCTATGGTTTCTATTTATAACCTTCTTGTGTCTTGACGCAAGTCATTTTTATTCCCTTTATATTGTCACGTAATCTCGTTGTTGAGCCTACTTGAGCAAACTATGGGGCAAATGGTTTCTGAAAATTGCAGTTTACTTGTCCTATTAGTGAATTTATGAGGCATTTCATGAAACTATCTAGAAGTTTTGTAAACTATGTAGTCTCTGCATCATGTTGTTAATGGTGTTAATGAGGAGAAAATAAACTTGATTTTAAATGACATAGATAAGGAACAGATTCAACTTTCAAGAGTTAATTGCTGAAAGTGTAATAATATTATCGTGTTGGTAGAAAATGTATTTAATTTTTAAAAATATTTATTCTTAATGGTGCAGAGAATTAGCATATTCTGGAATAGTAATTGGAATGAAAAAGGGAGTGAAACAAAGTCCATTCTTTTATGAATTTAGGTAGGGAAAGTCGAAGAAGGTGCAATATGAAGGGCCCAATGGAGACTTGGCTGCTATACTTCAAAGGGATGTCTTGGAGACCAATCCTGGTGTCAGATAGGATGATGTGGTTAGGTTGAGCGAATCAAAAAGACTTTTAGAAGAAGCTGTGGTTCTTCCACTGTGGATGCCTGAGTATTTCCAGGTATCAGATATTAGTTGAAGCTGAGTAATTTACTTCGATTTCGTTTAACCCCATTGTTCCACAAAGTCATCTGGATACTTTGTAGTTTTAGTATTCTAAATATGCCGTTGTTTTGTTACTATGGATTTTATGATGAATGCCTACGAAAATGAGTTCATTAAGTCCAATCCTGATTTGCCTGCAAAAGTGATTTTCATTTACTTGTATTGTTCGTACCCCATTGTATCTGGTAAATTTAATAATTGATTTTAGAAGATTTTTATAATTTGCATCAAATTAAGATTAATATGTTTTAAAAGATGAAAACCGAAGAATTTTATTCCTTAGCAATGAGATCTCAGGTAAGATGGAGAAACTATATTGACAAATTATTTAAAGAAATGCATAGCGTGAATATTTGGTGTTTGATTAAGTCCACTATAGATAGGAATTTTATTATACTATAAGAATCCAATTTTTATCGGGGATTGATTGTATAAAGAGGACAAGGATAACAAAAAAATTGGCCTCGATGGAATTGGAAATATTTGAGCGAGGTGGGTATTCATGTACATAATAGGAGAATCGCTTCTTATTTGTATCTGTTTCAATTATTATTGATTTGCTTTTGAATTAATAAATAACAATATTAACAATGAGCAATTTTTATTGTGAAAGAGGAAGCCAATAAAATAGGACAATGAGCTTCCAATACATAGTTTTCATTACGCTTCATTCAATTCTTACTTTATATTGCAAATAAAATATTTCCCTAAACATATTTGGTTTGTTACAATTTTCTACTTTGTTGACTAGGAAAGATATATTTGAGTTGGAATAATTTTATTTAGTCTCTCCTATTGATATGTGCATCAATTATATATGGAAAAGGCTGTGTACATAATGTCCTTTTTGTTTCCTTTTATCAACTCAAGTGACATCTACCTACTGTGATAATGAAACAACACTTTCAGCTATTAGAAGTGGGTATGCTATCTAGGTCTTTCTGCATGTCTCTTGTTTCCATCCGCGTTGGGAAGATCACCTAGCAAGGAGCAAGTAGCTTCTTATATCCCTGTTAGGTCTAAAGGTGTAATTGGCGATTCTGTGGAAAAAGGACTAAATTGTAAATTTGTAAAAGTCAGGGACTCAATTGTACAATGTTATAAAAGTCAAGGACTTATGGTGCAATTTAGAAAGTTGTGTGGTAGGGACTAGGGTTTGAGTGTTAGGCCAAAATCAAGAACACGGATCCGGAGGTTCGCTAGCTGTTCGCCCTGCCATGGAGCCGAATGAAACCAAAGTTTCATGTTCGATTTTGAATTAGAGACGTTCAAAATGCTGAATCGACGTCGACTATAACCTCTAGCCTTCCAAGCTAACGATGCGGGTTCGTACCATTCGAGCCGTTTTTTTTTTTCATGCTTTTTCCGGAGGTCTGGAGAAAGCTGCAATCAAGAGGATTTCCCTAATCCTCCCTTCCCGAAAGGAAGAGAGTGAAATTCTTTTTCCTTTCCGCAGGGACCAGGAGATTGGATCTAGCCGGACGTCGCTCGCTCTGTGCCCGAACTTCGCTTGAGCGAAGTACTGTTGCTCGCTCTCCACTCGCTTTTCGCTCGAGTGACTGCATTATATAGAAAATCGTATTTTCGATTTTTGGAAAGTTTGACACGGCCTTGAATTCCAAATTGCCCCAACTATAAATACAAAGGCCGTGAACAAAAATAGAGGTTGCTTCATTGTGCTTTCATATTAGAACACTTTCATATCATTGTGAAGAGATCCAAGAACACAACCAATTGGAGAATTCATCAATCTTATTTTTGTGATCCGGCAACCAATATTTTGGGGAAAAACATCAAGTTTGTGAAGACAAAACACCGGTACTTCTTCATCTGTTGAGGAAGGGACTGAGGGATTGAGAGAGGTGGACGACAAGCGCAGGAACTGGACTAGAACAGGTGGTTCTTGGAATTCCACTTGGTGATACAATCAGTTAAAGACCAGGAGACTGTATTGAACAGCAGATTGGGCTGCAGGTGGTAGATCGGGAAGCTAGCAGGAGACTAGTAGTGTCTACGGCAGTAGATCGTGAGACTGGAACAACGGGTCTGACTGGGTATGGAGTTTGACAGAACTTGTACCGACTGAATTGGTATAGTGGAACTTACTGGCTTGGTCCCGGAGTTTTACCCATATTGGGGTTTCTCCGTCATCATATCGTGAGTTGTGTTTTGTATTATGTTATTTACTTTACGCAAACCGGCAGTTCAACATAGGAATTAACTGGATTGTATGTTTAATCACCTAGACAATTAATTAAAGTGACGTGTTGCTTTGATTAATCAATTCTGCAGTGAGGTCGAATAATAAATTGTTTGGAACATAAACTTGGCAATATCTAAAACTTGAATTTGCCGTAAAATAACGTTATTCGTGAATTTTCAAGTGGTTGTAGATCGTTCCCTGAACTTTCAAGTGGTATTAGAGCCTAAGTACGAATCCTGACCTTACATTAGTCTAGATGAGTATGTCGTTGAATGTGCCACCCCACTTTGATGGGAACAATTATGCGTATTGGAAGGTGAGAATGAGGGCGTTTTTGAAGTCCTCAGATGAGTGTGTTTGGCAAATTGTGGTAAATGGTTGGTCTGCCCCTAGTACCACAATAGATGGTGTAGTCACTCCCACTCCTGTCGAGAACTGGTCTAGGGCTCAATTGTATAGCTGTAATTTAAATCGCAAAGCCCTCCATGCCCTATTTATGGCAGTTTTCCCCGAGGAGTTTAGGAGAGTGTCCATGTGTGAGGTAGCAAAGGAAGTTTGGGATATTTTAGAAACCACACATGAGGGAACTCAGGTCGTTAAGAGTTCTAAGTTGCAAACATTGGCACTAGGTTTGAAGAGATAAGAATGAGAGACGATGAGATGTTTGATGTCTTTTATGCTAGCTTAAATGACATAGTAAATTCGTCCTTCAACCTAGGTGAGAAAATCCCTGAACCTAAGATAGTAAGAAAGATTCTTAGATCCTTACCTGAGCGTTTTAGGTCTAAAGTCACGGCAATTGAGGAGAGTAAGGACATAGACACTATCAAGGTAGAGGAGTTAGTTGAATCACTCCAGACCTATGAATTGACCTTAGACAATCCCGCTAAAGAAAAATCCATAGCCTTGAAAACCGCTAGGAATATACGGATGAAATCTTCTGATTCTGATTCACCCAATGATGAGGAGATGGCCTACCTAACTAAAAAATTTCGAAAAATGTTTAGGAATAAAAAGAAATGTTAAGAGAAACAAAGAGGTGGCCCGAGTAAATCTAGGAAGAAATCCAAATTCGTGAGATGCCATAACTGTAGCGGTTTCGATCATGTGAGGAATGAGTGCCCTAGTGCTAAGAGATTTGAAGAGAAGGCTATGAATACTACTTTCACTGATGACGAGTCTAGCTCAGGCAATCAGAGTGAGAAATTCACCCGTGAGGAGAGTGGAAAATATGTGGCCTTCGTTGCAAGGGGTAAAAGTGGATCCGAATAGGGGAATGATAGGGAAGAGGACCTAGATAGTAGTGAAGAATCTGGTGATGAGAGTGGACGTGAGCAAGATCTAGAAACAGCCTATGATAGGATGTATGAGGAAAGCCTCAAGATCTTAGCCACTAACCAGGCAATGAATAAGAAAGTGAAGGAGCTTAGACTAGAGAAAGAACAGTTAGAGGCTCGGGTTAGTGATCTCACCAATAAGAATGAGATGTCCTCTAGGAGAGTAAGTGAGCTGACTATTGTGAATGAGACCTTAGCTATTCAGATTAAACACCTTGAGAGTGAGCTAGAGTTGTCCAGGTCTCTGTTACTTACCTTTTCTAGCAATTCTGAAAAGCTAGATAATATTCTAGGTATAGGTGTCAGCTGGTGATAGGGGAGGTCTAGGTTTTGATCTGAATGTTGCTAGTACATCACAGACCACCTTTGTTCATGCTACTGACCAGTCAAACATTGTGACTAACCCCATACCAAATATTGTGGAAACTCCAGGATCTAGGTTTACCAGACGTCGTAGGGCCCGTCAGCCTAGGAATAGAAATCAGCGTAAGCATATCATAGGTCCTAGGTTTGCCCCTACATATTTTCACTGTAGGGAGTTGGGTCACATCTGCCCTAGATGTCATCAGTACCTGAACAATAGGAAAGATTTGAGCCTGAAAAGGAACAAATATCAGATGTCTGTTGGTCAAATTGGATTCCTTGCTAATCAAGTGAATCGTTTGACTCAATTGGTGATACAGCTGTCTGGAAACAATTCCCGTTCTGGACAGGTTTGGATGAAGAAAAGCGATCTCCCAAATTTGGTTAGAGATCGCGGTGCTATTAAAGGAAAAAGCATTTATATACCTACTTGATTAGGTATTTTTGATGCATGCGTGGTTCTTGATTGATATATAATTATTGCATGCATCACGTGTATATTTTTTTTTTTTGTTTTGTTGTTTTTCATGCATGTGCATTTTCACTTACGAGTTTTGGCGCATGCATAATTATTTTTTTCCTTGTGTGCTTGACGTTATTTTATTTTGTGTGTTTAGTATTCATTTTAGGAGAAATGAAAAACACAAAAACATTGAAAAATTGAAAAAGACAAAAATAATTAGTTATGGAAATTTCTACAGCATAACACTTGACTTTGAGCTTGCACGTTGTATCATGTAGGAGCTAAATTTGATAAGCTGTAGAATAATTTTCACTGCTTGGTTAGGTCTAGTTGGATTAATCTGTATAAGTGTCTTCATGTACCATTTGCACTGCACACACTATGAACTTGTTCGTGGGACTCTACCGTGTGCGTGAGATTTGGGATGGCTGTCACATGTTGATGGGGTGACTTTGAACATGAATTGACCATATTTTTGTAGACCTTAACCCAAGATTTTCCTCCAATTTTAAATACTCGTATCTTAATGTTCTTCTTCGGGGCCTATTTGACCCGAAGAATATAATGAGAAAAATTAATGAGCTGGAGAAATGAGAAAATATGATGAGCTGAAATACTTTGAAAAATTGATAAACAAATAAGCTCATAGTAAAGGGGAGATAAGTAAAAATAATAAGAATAGGTCCTACTACGCGTTACATGGTTTGACTCTCATTAGTAGGAGAACATACTTATTAGCAATGATTGACATGTCCCTTCTCACAAAATTAAGGTTTAGAGTCCTGTTTGCATTGGATTAGTGACACTTTACACACATGAGTCACTTATATTTTTATTACTCCATTCTGGATGAACTAAGTATGTGGGGAGTTATACTACTTGTTGATTTTTCTTTTACATGCTATCAATTGCATTTTTGATAATTATGTGTTATTGCTCGACTTGGCCTTAATGCATATCCCTTCAGCATTTGTGACAAAAAGAGGGAGAGAAATGTTTAACTGAGGGAAGAAATAATAATAATAATAATAATAATAATGATTGAGCATACACATAGGAAAGCAACTGCATATGCATGCAAATGACGTCATTGATTGTCATCACTTGCATTGCATTGCTATGTTTAGGGGAGAGACATAGATACATTTACCTACTGCATAAAAACATGAAAGCTTGCAGTAAGGGGGAGCGTTGCATTGCATTCCATATCATATCCATATGTTTGAGTTTTGATGTTTAGTGGTGTTGGTGTCTTGGTTGGTGTTTTGATTGACATCAATATCATGTCTCAAACTGTTATGTTGATTTGTGATTAAGAGCTTTATGTAATCTTTATATTTCCTGTATCACGTGCTTTTACACTGGGTATATGAGTTTGTGGATTTCAGGAAATAGGTACACGAACGAATGCAAGACTCGGTGATTGGGTTTACTGGGTAGTTTAGTTTTTTGTTGTCAAGTCCTCACTTATTTTCTATTATCTTGACTTCATTTGTAGAGTTTTCTCACAGAATGTCAAAGCGGGAGTTTGTTAGGTCTAAAGGTGTAATTGACGATTCTGTGGACAAAAGGACTAAATTGTAAATTTGTAAAAGTCAGGGACTCAATTGTACAATGTTATAAAAGTCAAGGACTTAGGGTGCAATTTAATAAAGTTGTGTGGTAGGGACTAGGGTTTGAGTGTTAGGTCAAAATCAAGAACACGGAGCGGAAGGTTCGCTAGCTGTTCGCCCTGCCACCGCTCGAGAGAGAAGAAGCAGAATGGACGTCGCTCGCTCCTCGCCCGAACTTCGCTCGAGCGAAATACTGTCGCTCGCTCTCCGCTCGCTTTTCGCTCGAGCGACAGCGTTATATGGAAAATCGTATTTTCGATTTTTGGATAGTTTGACACGGCCTAGAACTCCAAATTGCCCCCAACTATAAATACAAAGACCGCGAACGAAAATAGAAGTTGCTTCATTTTGCTTTCATATTAGAACACTTTTATATAATTGTGAAGAGATCCAAGAACACAACCAACTGGAGAATTCATCAATCTTATTCTTATGATCCGACAACCAATATTTTGGGGAAAAATATCAAGTTTGTGAAGACAAAACACCGGTACTTCTTCATCTGTTGAGGAAGGGACTCTCTCAAAGGGGATTGAGGGAGGTGGATGACAAGCGCAGGAACTGGACAAGAATAGGAGGTTCTTGGAATTTCACTTGGTAATACAATCAGCTAAAGACCAGGAGACTGTATTGGACAGCAGATTGGGCTGCAGGTGGTAAATCGGGAAGCTAGCAGGAGACTAGTAATGCCTACGGCAGTAGATCGTGAGACTAGAACAGCAGGTCTGACTGAGTACGGAGTTTGACAGAACTTATATTGACTGAATTGGTATAGTAAAACTTACTGGCTTGGTCCCGGAGTTTTACCCACGTTGGGATTTCTCCGTCATCATATCGTAAGTTGTGTTTTGTATTATGTTATTTACTTTACGCAAACCGGCAGTTCAACATAGGAATTAACTGGACTGTATATTTAATCACCTAGACAATTAATTAAAGTGACGTGTTGCTTTGATTAATCAATTCCGCAAGGAGGTCGAATAATAAATTGTTTGGAACATAAACTTGACAATATCTAAAACTTGAATTTGACGTAACATAACGTTCTTAAAATCATGCGAAAATTTACCTTGTCAAATTGAATTTATTTTGTTAATCTCATTATCTCCCGTCAACCCTTCAAACTCAACACGTTAATATTACCTGAAGAATAACATAGCCCATGCATTGCATGGGCCAACGACTAGTATTTAAAAAATTGGCTAGCAAATGTAAGTCTAAGAACTGGAGTGGGGCCATGGCGATGGAGGGAACAATCAAAAGCATACAAGTTTGAAGTCCAGTACTGTTCTCGCCAAGTCTTCCTCTATTCGTATTCCATCGTTCTTCTTCAAAGAATCGTCAAAGTCTCCCAGACGAAGCAAAGCAAAGCAAAGTGGAGTTCCGATTTGTCATTAGAATTGACAAAAAGTACTGATAAACAAAAGTGTCCTCATTTCTTTACAATAAATCACAAAGTAATCACTCACCAAATTCAGTAAAGCAAAGCAAAAGCAGCCCATAAACCAGACTCCACCACATTCTTTCCTTCTTCCTAGAGAAACCAAAAAAGCGAAAAGGAAAACACTTGCCCCACTTCTTCTCCAAAGCATCTCTCTCTAACTTTATATATATATGTATAGAGGTATACACTAATGTATTACTTTTTCTTAAGCATTGAAATTGAACGGAAAACCCAGAAGGAAAAGGATTGTAATCTGACTGCATTGGGGCAGTGATTGTAAGGCAGTGTTATGGCGAGTCCGAGTGGGACCAATAATGGTGTAGGCCCACGTCGGTCACTTTCGAGGAGAATGTCGAGAATGCCCACTATGATGGACGGCGAAGAAGACATTCACGCCGTGGACAGTGAGCTTGTGCCGTCGTCCCTGGCGGCGATTGCCCCCATCCTCCGTGTGGCTAATGAAATTGAGCCAGAGAATCGCAGAGTCGCTTATCTATGTAAGATCATTAATTTAGCGGTTTTAATTGAATTCAGAGAGGATAAGAATAGTAATAAGTTGTTAATTATTTGCATTCGGCACAATTTGTTAATCTCGACTAAGTAAGGTTGTTGAAGTTTCAAGGTATGAAATGTTTAGAACTGGAAGTATCCATGTTCTTTAAGCGAACAAAACTTCGTCTTTATTAGTTAGGAATTCGATACACCATCTGGAGGTCTAACTCGATGAATTAGCGCAGTTCAGGTGCTGTATATGTTGGCTACTCGTAAATTGTACTTTTATGTAGATTCCAGGCGCTCTGATAGAACACTTGGAATGCTCCCAATCTGGATATAGGCATTTTTCACAGAAAAAGTGAATTTTATAATAGTTTGAACAACTGTACTTTTCCTGGAAATGATCTACGCTTACTAAAAGGCAGGTTGAACCTCCTCGTTGTTAGATGGTCTCTTCTTATACCAGCTGGGTCAGTAAATTCTCATTGACTTTTACAGCAGACAAATAAAGAGTAATCATCCATTGATGTCCACAGCATCAAATCAAAGAACAAAGAAATGATTGGAAAATCCCCGTTCAAGAACTGACTATGTGAATACATTTAATTCCACAAGAAAGATGAAAAAGTGATTTCTTTTATTACTCGTTTTCATTTGTTATTCCCCGACTTATCTTGTTTAAATAATTATCCAGTTCTTTTTGATTTTTCAAATGTTTGGATCAGGCCGCTTCCATGCATTTGAGAAAGCTCACAGGATGGATGTAAACTCAACTGGGCGGGGTGTTCGACAGTTTAAGACATACCTACTACATAGGCTTCAAAAGGTAGACATGAGTCTTCCTTATTAATCTTTTTTTTTTTTTTTTTTTTTATTTTTTTTTTTTTTTTTTTTTTTTTGTAGTCTTTTTGGCTTTCAACTAGGTAATACTTTCTCAAGATTTTAGAATTTGATCTTTGTTGCTAGAGGTACTTCCATGTTAAGACCAATATTGATGTGTTAAAATAATCCTAGAAAGAAGCGGTTTTTTTTTTTTTTTAAATGTTAACAGTGATTGTCGAATATTTCTCAATTATTTTTTGGGTATTAACTCCAATAGTTGAGAGTATTTTGGAGATTTTCAACGTGCAATAATTTCTCGCAAGAGACAAAGAATTCCTCTAATAAAACTATTAAACCACTTGATATAAAATTTTAACCTTTTAGATAGGGTGAAATGTATATCATTTAAATATTATCTTCTACATGCCCATTACATATACACAGGATTTTTTCCCAATTAAAGCCTAACATGATCAAAATTAATTTATATGGTGATAGTGAGACTTGAATTTAGAACCTTTGGATGCTTGGACATTATGTTGAACCACTTGATCTAAAAGTTTAAATTGTATACGATCAAATGTATATTATTTAACTATTACCTTCAACAATCACCATCAACCTAAACTATCCTAATTTTCTGTAGGTATATTTGTGGTTAAGTTTATTAAGTACCTTGCAGCATGAATAATACTTCAAAATTTATTACATATGTGCTTCCTTATTCATTTTTTCAAAATTCTGAAAGGTGAAATCATAGTTCAATTTTTTATGATTTCAGGAAGAAGAAGAGACAAAACCCGAACTTGCACCAAATGATCCTATGGAAATCCAGAGATATTATCAAATGTTCTACAGAAGAAATGTTAGAGATGGCCAACATACGAAAAAACCGTGAGGCTTAATTTAATAAGACAGATAATGTTGGAGCTAACTTTGACCATTTCCTGCTATTACTCACTTGATTTATCCGTTCTTTTTTGTGTGTTTCTGTAGAGAGGAGATGGCTAAGATCTATCAGATTGCAAACGTGCTGTATGATGTGCTAAAGTCGGTAGTACCTGAACACCTGATAGATGAAGAGGTCTGATTCATATTGTTTTTTCATACTTGGTTTTGTAGGTGTATATTCTATTTTGAAGTAGTTGAATTCAAAAAATTCACCAAATGCAGTCGAAAAGTATTGCCAAAGATGTTGAAGAGAAACGAGAGCAACATGAGCACTACAACATTCTTCCTCTGTATGCTGTTGGGGTTAAACCGGCAATCATGGAGCTTCCAGAGGTTGTCTATGAAGATACACTTAAATTTGGTGTCTACAAATGAGAATATAATTTCTCAAAGCTACTACTCTATTTTATCTCTCTTAACAGTTATTTTCACTTTTTTCTTAATCAGATTAAAGCAGCACTTCAATCTATTCGTGATGTGGATAATCTTCCTGAATTTCAAACGCCCGAAGGGAATAATAGATCAGTTACAGATATTCTTGAATGGCTTGCTTTACGCTTCGGTTTTCAGGCAAGTTTTACTGCAACCAGCTTGTTTCTTCCCTTGTTCAGTTTTTTCTCTTTTATCTGTAATTTTGTTCCAAAAACTGTCTATCTTTCTGCCTTCTTCCTTTTACCTGCTGCATTTTAAACTTACTCTGCTTTGTTTGCATTTTTATATAATTTTGGAATGAAGTGTTCTACATGTGTATACATTGGTAATTCCTGCATTTGTCAAATTGTTAATTGATCACAAACTACCTACAGAATACTGTCGAGCCTTACTTAAAATTCACAAATGATTTGTTCATTTATATCTTACTTTACATTCCTTTACGTTGATCTAAATTTAGCGAAATAAATGTTTTAATAATAATAATAATCACTAAATATTCCTCCGTCCTTTTTTGGCAAAAATGGTGAGCATTAACAAAATAATATCTTTTGATAAGTCTATTTCAAAATAATAGGAAGAATTACAAATAAGTAATTTTTTTTTTTTTTTTACTTGGGACAGTAAAAAAACTTCTAAGCTAAAAAAAAAATAAAATAAAAAAAATACTAGAATGAAAAAGTTACTTACATGTACTTATATATGGGGAGTACTTGTGATATTTTGTCACGGTACACATTTTCACTCTTGAACAAAAGTACTTTTTTATTAATTGTTTCCATCTATTTGAAGCCTAGAATATAGCACGATATTTTCTACTTGTCTAGGACAACTAAAGCTTATCCCAGGCTAATTTAGATCAGATTTGTCGACATTTTACTTTTACACATGTTGCATTAGAAGGATTATTTATCGAAGTATTATTAAATCATTACCTTACCTTACTTTATTACTCGACACGTGTAAAGTGAGTTGTTACCAAGGGCAACCATCAAAATTGTTTGTTGACTAGTTAATTTCTTTCGTTTATAACTTGACGTATGATATGCTTGACTAATATATATTTAGCCTTAATAGTAGTTCATGCCTTATATGGCTAGCATATTCTCATGTGCTGACTATTAATATGCATCCATGAAAGAGTGTCACATAAAAAGATGCTATCTTAACCTATTGCTTAAGACCTAGTTGGAAGACTTGTTGGAATAGACCCAAATATATGTGGATAAAATGTTAAGTAAACCAATGTCTCGTACTCTCCTCTTCCTATTTTCTTCTCTAATAACGCATAAAAGCATTTGTTTTGGACAAAACTCGTAAACGTACGAAATCATTGATAAGTAATAGATTTAGTGGCTTAAGAATATCGTCCCATGAAATAATTGTAATTATTGTTACTAGTTTCTACTTAATTCGATGATTGTAATACAAAATAGTTGATTTTTTTGTTGTATCTAGATTAATTACGACTATATAAAGATATAGTTTTTATCAAATACTGTGATGAATGTATTGAAATTTAGAATCCACCTATTGATTTCTATTTTCAATTCTTAAATCATATAAGTTAGTATTCTTCAAGTATTCATGACAATCGATACTCTACTCATGTTTAACCTTATTTTTCAAGATAAATTAAACCTATCCTAAGCACGACTCAACCCTACTCCTAGTTCGAATTCATATGCAAAGAGGTGCATTCAGTCGCACTATTATTTACCTAGATTGCACACACTATAAATGTTATTCCTAACACCTATTATCCAAGTGTCAAATATGCAACGTTCTAACTTGTTGCAAATCTCCCAACACTACAATAAGTAACTAATTGTCTTAATGATGTTCAAGCATTCAAACAATACAATAATAATGCATATTTAATCAAGAACACAAGAATTAACTAAAATACTTAAATTTTGAATTATAAATATCAATTAAAGGGTTTCATCATTCATCCAATTCATCCAATACATAAGAAGTTTAGTCTAACATGATTATATTAAAATTATACAAAAATAAATAAATAAAAAATGAAAATGCATCATCCAAAACAAGTACATCGATGTAGAACTCAAAAACTCAATTTCTTACACTTCAATATTCAAGGTACAATTCTACATATTATCTATATAAGGTATTAAGACTTGAGTTTTCATCTTAAAACGTCAACCTTGTTAAAAAGAGTAGCCTAAGACTTTCTAAGTTTGTCCATGTTTTTATCTTTAATCGATGTGGGATTTTATCCCTTAACATGTCCCGTAAGATGGTGACTCGTTTGAATAGACCAATCTTGAAATTCTTATGCTCATTTATTGAGTTTTAATCGGATCAAATCACTTATTGAAGTTTAATGGGTTCGGATACCATATAGATCAATAATAATATGATTTCTGAATTGTATTTCTCTAATAAAAATTTACAATATATAGAGTATGATGACCACTAATTTGGGAAACTATTTCTAAAAAAATAGGCAAAAATCTCTCCTTGTGATGACAAGCCCTAATGACCAGATTTGTGGTAATTAAATTCGGAAAGGAGTCAATATATACACAACTATACAATCATAGAATCAAATCAGAGATTTAATTCCCTTTTTTCCATGTCAAGCATAACCTTGAGGATTTGTTAATACTTCTCCTCAAGCTGGTGAGCAAATATTGTCCATGCCCAGCTTGCTTGTAATTCGTTGGAATGTGTGACTTGGTAGTCCTTTGGTAAGAATGTCTGCAAGTTGTCCATCTTTTGGGACATAGGAAGTACAGATTAGGCCACAATTTAGTTTTTCTTTGATAAAATGTTGATCCACTTCTATGTGGATCTATGTGTTTAGTACGATTATGTTGTACCGGATTGTGAGCTATATTAATTGCAAACTTGTTATCATAGTATAACTTCATACTTCCTTCCCACTTGATACGCAAGTCTTCTATGATAATTTTGAGCCATGAAAGCTCATAAATTTCATGTGTCATAGCTCTAAATTCTGCCTCAAGTAATTGATTTGGCTACCACGACCTGTTTCTTACTCCGCTATGTTACCAAATTTCCTCCTAAGAAGGTACAATACCTAGATGTTGACCTACGATCAACTATTCGGGTACGCTTTCATACTCAACTCTCGGCTATGTTTGTAGTGAACACCTTTTCCTCGTGTAGACTTCAAATATTGTAAGATTTCATAAACAGCTTCTAAGTGACACTCCCTTGGAGAATACATGAACCGACTTACCACACTTACAGCATAAGCAATATCTGGCCTAGTATGTGACAAATGAATGAGTTTTCCCACTAATCTTTGATATCTCCCCTTGTCTACCATTGCGTCCTCTGCAGCTTCTCCTAGCCTGTGATTTTGTTCAATGGGAATTTCAAAAAGCTTACAACCTAGCATTTCTGTCCCCTACAGTAGATCAAGAATGTATTTTTGTTGGGAAATGAATATGCCATTTTTCGAGTATGCCACTTCAATCCCAAAGAAGTATTTCAAATTTCCCAATTCTTTTATTTCAAATTCTTTTGCCAGTTGCTTTCTAACTTCTCAATTTCTTCAAGATCATCCCCTGTTACGATGATATCATCAACATAAATAATTAGGATAGTGATTTTACCGCTTCTTGATTTTTTTTTATGAAGAGTGTATGATAGCCTTGTGATTGTTTGAACTCATTTGTTTCATTGCACTAGTAAATCTTCTAAATCATGCTCAAGGAGATTGTTTCAATCCATATAGAGCTTTCTTCAACCTGCATGCACTATTAACTCCAAATCCCGTAGTAAAGCCAGGAGGTGCCTCCATATAAACTTTTTCCTCCAAATTACCATGCAAGAATGTATTTTTTTACATCAAATTGCTGCAAAGACTATTGAAGGTTAGCTCCTAAGGACAATAAAAAATCTAATAGTATTCATTTTTGCAATCGGAGCCAATGTTTCTGGATAGTCTACCCTATACGTTTGAGTGTACCCCTTTGCTACAAGCAGGGGCGGAGCCAGAAACATTGTTCAGTGCGGGCACTATTTAATTATTATCGAACTTTGAGTTTTTGGCTATGGATTTAATAATGAGAAAAATATAAAATAATATTACGATAATACTAAAAATGATATAGTTTATAAATTATACTTCTTCCTTGCAAGTTTTCCTACTTTAATATCATTGTACAATAACTTCAAGTTAATTTAGATAGTAATGCCGATGCGCAATAACAAATAAAAAGAATCCCTTTTTAGAACTCATGTCACTCCTATTGAAAATTCCTCATAGAATAGCACCATTTATTTACTTCAACTTCATTTTATAAGTTGGTTTAGCAGAAGGTCAGTTTAGAATGATGTCACTTCTCTGGGTTTGGGAATTGGGTTGGGTGAGTGACAATTTTTTTGTTTTAATTTTTTCTTTGGGCCGATGATTGGAAAGCCCAATAAGCTAATACCAAAAATATATATATATATATATATATATGAAAGGAATTGTGTTGAGCCCAAATTTCAGTGCAGGCATATGCCTGCACTCAACTCTATTGGACTTTGCCCCTGGCTACAAGTCTCGCTTTATCTCTCCAAAGTATCATCTTCATTATATTTTACAGTATACACCCATTTGCATCGCACTGGTCTTTTTCCTTTTGGCATCTCAACAACATCCTATGTCTCATTTTTATCTAGTGCCATCATTTCTTCACTCATAGCTATTTTCCATTCTTCACTCTTTAGTGCCTCTTGAACTGTTTGAGGAATTCTAATGGTATATAGTTTTGTGAGAAATGCTCTATGTGAATATGAGAGTCTATTGAAGGAAATAAAGTTTGCTATGGGGTGTTGTGTGCATTTTCATGCGACCTTTCTCATGGCAATTGGAATATCAAGATCTGTCTACTTAGTGATAGGGAGATTTTATGGTGAGAGAGAGCTTGGAAGACTTTCATTACCTGTTATAGGATCACACTCCTAAGCTTGTACCAGTTTAGGCTCAACTTTCCTTCTTGAATAGACCTGCAATGGCAAAATTGGATCATCTTTCCCTGTTTTCTCATTATCAATAGATTTAGGAGAAAGTGTATCAAGGTTTGGAAGAGTAGTGATTGTAGTATCTAAATTTGCAAGGGTAGTTTTTGGTTTTTCTTCGATGTTAGAGTCTGCAAGGTCAATTTCAGGAAAACAAGGACCAATCTTATCTTCTAATGATCTCTCTCCCTCGGGATAAGATTCCTCAAAATCAGCAAAGGTGACATCTTTACTAACAAAGAACTTTTTGGATTTTGGATGATAACACTTGTACCCTTTTGTGCTGGAGAATACTCAAGAAAGACACATTTAAGAGCTTAGGAATTCCTCCTAAGACAGTGTAGTTCTTTTCTTCTCTGACTTCTGTGTAGTACCTGTCCTTCATTGTCAATATTTAGATTAGATTGTCCTTCTCTTTACTTGAAAAATAAACCAGAATGTCTATAACTTTTGAAACCTCAAATCCAACCCAGATTGTTAATAAATCTAACCAGACATCACTCAATGAACTTCAAGTTATTCAGTCATCCTATCGTCTGAATGGAAAAACTACTTAATCTGGTCTCAAGTGGTTCAAACTAAATTGAAAGAGGGAGGGAAGCTCCGATACCATATTAAGACTTGGGATTCCATCTTAAAAAGTCAACCTTATTCAGAGGAGTAGTTCAAAACCTTATAAGTTAGTCTATGTTTCTATCTTTAATCGATGTGGGATTTTATCCAAATTGGTATGCTTATTTATTCGATCTTAATTAGATCGAGTTGCCTGTTGGAGTTTAGTGAGCTTTGATACCATATAGATCAATAATAATATGATTTTTGACTTGTATTTCTCTAATAAAAATTTACAATAGATAGAGTACAATGACCAGTAGTTTAGGAAACTAATTCTCAAGAAATAGGCAAAAATCTCTCCTTGTGATAACAGGCCCTAATAATTAGATTTTTAGCAATTAAATTAGGAAAGGAATTAGTCTATACAAAACTATATAATCTTGGAATCAAATTAGGGATTTAATTCCCTTTTTTCCATGTCAAACATAATCTTGAGGATTTGTTAACATAAGGCAAGAAAAACTACAGTTGGAATACATTTGGTACCTCAGCATGCCTATGGCCAGATATCTAACAAAATGAAAAACAAAAAATAGTCCATGAAGTGTGAAAAAATGCATAGAAACTACACAGCATAGTCTGGAATTTCAAACATGTTAAAGGTAAGCACTTCCAACATTAGTTTACTCACTTGAATGCTCACAAACAAAATGGCATTGCATGAAAATTAGGAGACTTTTAATTAAATAATAGCTCATTTTATTTGCACAATTGACTCACATAATCTAAGTTGTAGATGCAAACAAATAGATAGAGTGATTGCCTTGAACTGCATCTTTATTGTTTGGTCAAGAACTCGTGAACACAGCCCAAGTTCATTAGGTGTTCTAATAAGGAAACATCATCACGAAAGATATAAAATATTCCAAACTCAGAGCATGGATTTACTAATTTATTGCTCAGTACCTTTAAAGCTGGAGTTTTCATATGCATTTCGCCTCTTGCTAGACTTTTTCAATGATAAAATCAAGGTCCTCTATGTTCTGGACGTTTCTTAGGTTATAAAGGATGCAAAAGATCATATACCAAAACTTATCGAATCAAGAAAAGAAAACAAAATTTTCTCCCTTTGATTTCTTCAAGGCGCACACCTAGTTTAATGTGAGGTGTGTGACTCTAAGGCTGAATTTGGGTTCAGTCGCCTACATAAGGTGTCCAAGCGCGCTCCTAATTATATCTCGAGGTGTCTTTAGTATTTTTGTCATATCTTGCTCTCCTAAAGACAGTGCTAGGCGTACAGGCCCAGCACCTTACGGACCCCTTACAGGGGTCTCAAAAAGGGTGAGGTCAGGATTTTTTTTCAATTTTTATTGCATTAGGGTCCGCGTGGGGTCGACCCCATGTGAGGGATCGGTAAGACCCCTGTGAAAAAAGCCCTGTATACAGGGCTTTATCCATATTTGATTGAGATGATTTAAAGTACATTGGAAAACTAACTGAAGGGCTACAATTCTTCTACAAATATTATTTTCCAATTTCAACATTTACTATGCCAAAAGTGAGTCTCAATATGTGGTTGAAAATTCGGAGTATAATTTTTCCAGTTGGAAATTGATGTGTGAGAGAACTTTGACTATATTTTACTCTTTTGACTTCTTTTCTCATCCAATTGACATTTAGCACTCTCGAATCTTTATCATGAGGTTTGACACAACTTTTAAGTATTTGTACTTTAGTCCTCGAACTTTGAATCTCTTACAATTGAGCCACTTTCACACATTTTCTCCAATTCTGCCATTTATGTTGATTTTTGCCTAACAAACATAATATACATAGAATTAAACCATAATTCATCAAAATAACCAATAAATACTCTAATTTAAAGGACTAAATAAGTGTACTAAATACACTTATCAGCAACCTAAAATCTTTCTTTGCCTTTTTGCCGCAAGTTTATTCATTAATTTCATGACTATTGTGCAACTTTTTTTTTTCCCCTTCTCTTTTGGTTTTTGGGATGTTGATGAGCTAAGTGACTCACTTTTTGTAACTCTCCCATTGTCCAACGTTTGGGTACTGAAGAAAGGAAATGTGGCAAATCAGAGAGAGCACTTGATATTGCTACTTGCCAATTTGGATTCAAGGAAAAAGGATAATCAAGATTACGGAGAAGTAAGTTTTTTCTTTTGTTTCTTGACAGAGTCAACTTTATTAGATAATATATTGTTAGTCTTAAATCGTAGAATTTTTTGTTCTTTTATGTGAAACATTCTTTTTTCCTTGTTCTCCTCATATATTCTGAACATTGATGAAGGAGCCACTATTGAATAGCTTAACAATTCAACGATTGATGGACAAACTATTCAAAAATTATCGGTCATGGTGCAAATACTTACACTGTTCACGAAATTTGGAGTAAGTTAACTGCTTGTAACTATATAATCAGCTTATCTATCCAGAGTACTGTGTAGATTTTGTACTGTACCTTATATGCACATGTTGTAGTCACATATTCTTTATAATTCTTGTTTTATATGTTCTTGTTGGCAGTGATGAGGATCTTAAAAGGCACATGTCGCAGCTTAAATGGAACCAGTCACAGCTTCTCTACATTGGACTATATCTTCTTATATGGGGTGAAGCTTCAAACATTCGGTTCATGCCGGAATGCCTATGCTATATCTTTCATCATGTACGTTTTTACTTATGTTGCAAAGTTGATAATTCCTCGATAGCCATTATGCTTGTCAGTAATATCTTCTCATGCAAGTGGAAGATTGACGATTGTCATGATCTTATTTAATTAAATATTTCAAAATTCTTTAATAACTTCAGCTAGAAAATTTGTGGCAATCTAGGAATAGTAGCAAGTATATGCAGGTCACCAAACATGAATTTGTTATCCACTGCCCATCGGTTCTTTAGCTGATTGCGCTAGATATCCATTATATGTTATGATTATTGCAACATGATTTTTGTTTGTCGTTTCTTAGACAAATTACAATGAAAACGAGTTTTCTAGATTCGCCTTAGATTATAAATACTCATATGCTTTAAATATTATCTTGGTGCAGACTGAACTGCATTCAACTTGAATTTCTGACCTCCTTTGAAACTTTTTCAGTTAAATAAAGAATATATACTTCTCTTCCCAAAAATTAATGTAATTAAGGTATTTCCAACTGATAGTTTGTTCTCATGTTGGCTGATAATTATTTCAGTGCATTGTGCTTCTGTATACAATTGTCTCCTTTTGTATGAAAATTAATTACTGCTGTGCATATTGCTTCTGTGTATATTTGTTTCTTGTTTATATGAAGATAACACCTTATCTTTTTAAACAAAAGATGGCAAACGAGTTGAATGGAACTTTGTATAGCAATGTCGAACGCATTAGTGGAGTTACGTATCAAACAATTCCACATGATGAGGAATATTTCTTGAAGGAAGTCGTTACCCCTATTTATAACGTTCTGTATGAGGTAACTCATATGTTTTTTCTGCCTTTTACTTTGGCACTGCACTGCACTGCACTTATCACCTAATTTACTCATATTTGTCGGTGAAGGAAGCTAGGAAAAACAAAGAGCGGAAAGCGAGTCACTCATCATTGAGAAACTACGACGATCTTAATGAATACTTTTGGTAATTGTATTAAGTGTCAGAACTCGCCATTTCTAGATAAGTAAATATCTGGGATTTCAGTTATTTGTAAATTTTACTTTGTTTCTTCCCTCTGCTCTCTTTTTAGGAATAAGAAATGTTTTAAGTTGGGGTGGCCATTCGATGTTACGAAAGCAGATTTCTTTCGACAACCGGTTGTGGTAAAGCCAGCAAAGGTACATATTTATATATGGACTTCAAGAAAATTGTAAATGTTTTCTTATCCAGACTCTTTAGTCTTTATTAATCTCCTAGGCATTTTCCTCGTGTCTAAGTTTTCTATCAATTTGAGTTCCATCTTTAAAGATCAACATTGTTAAGAATAGTTCAATCCCTTACATATTAGTTAATATTTTCATTATCATTCGATGTGAGATTTTTCCCTTAACATGTTCTTGCAAGATAGTGGATCATTTGAGTTGACCAATGTTGAAATCCGTGTACTCATTGGAGTCTTAGTTGAATCAAATTACTCGTTTGAGTTTAATGGACTTCGATACCAAGACTTGGACTTCCATCTGAAAAGGTCAACCATATTTTAAAAAGTAGCACAGGCCTTATATATTAGATAATATTTTCATTATTATTCAATGCGGAATATCTCTTGACATCCTTTACATCGTCAAAGTGATAAGTACCTAAACTGGATTTCTGTGCTCCGGTCGACTCAGCAGTGCTCTGGATAGGAACCAGCCCTGTTCAAGACAAAAGTGGGATTAAACGCTACCAACAGAAGCTATATAACTGCAAATAATCACTGAGTTTGCAATATAAACGAGATTGGACACCAAAGGAATTGTTCTTTATTGACTGGACTGGCCGTACAGATTGGACTGCTTTCCCCGTCTAAAAAGAATGCCAAGAATAAAATTGAGGCAGCTCGAAGGCATTTGAGAGACTTGGACTCAACCAAAAGAACGTGAATGACCTCCCTTGACTCCCCCACATACATTTATTCCCCATCCCTTACAAAGGACTCTTCCCCAAAATACCCCTACTCTACTAACTAACTGGGACTGAATTAGTTGCTGCCTTCTTTGCCTCAGTGTGCACTGTGCGCTGCCCTTTCCTTCGTCTCGCATGGGTGAACTTTATCGGGGGCCTATCACAAAGTTTCTTCATCACCTCGTCTGTTTATACTCCAATCTTTCAGTTGCATTTGCCACTTCTCTAATCTGCATCAAAATTTTATGATGAAAATTCTTTTTCCATCTGTTCATAGCATTCATCTCCTTACTCTTCAGATATCACAGTTTACAGGTGCTGATCTTGGTGCCACACAATCAGATGCTGATACAAGTGGCTCCACACAAGGCACATACACTACACATCATCAGCTCTTTCCTGGCTAGGAGTACTAGAAGCTTCGTTTGTTATGCTTAGTAGCTAGGAGTACTAGAACCTTCATTTGTTATGCTGTGCTGTACACATTTTTCTTTCCATTCTGTTATGCTGTTAGAAACTTGTATATATATACACAGCATTCGTTTGTACAAAGCAGCATTCAATTTCAGAAATAGAGAAGAACAATTTCCTTTTTTCTATTTCTTACATGGTATCAGAGCACTAGGGTTAATCCTTCGTGTATTTCCCTTTCATTGCCATGGAAGATCAACCAACAGATTCTCAAGCTACTACTCCTGTTGAATTGAATTCTGATGTTCCAAAATCAAAACCCATTTCTTCTTTCCTCGACTTCACTGACCCAAATAACCCTTACCGGGTCGATCGTGGGGATAGCACCACTGTTACACTTGTTACTGATTTATTAACAGCTGACAATTATGTCACATGGTCACGTGCTATGCGTCGAGCCCTTCGAGCAAGAAACAAGCTTGGTTTTATCGACGGAAGCCTTGTTAAGCCAGCCGATCCTGCAGATTCTTTATTCGATGCTTGGGAAAGGTGCAATGACATGGTTGTATCCTGGATACAAAATTCTATCAGTCATGCGGTAAAATCCAGTGTTGCCTTTGTGGATGATGCACAAGACGTGTGGAATGAGCTTCAACTTCGTTTCACTCAGCAAAATGGGCCTCGAATTTTCCAACTGAAAAGAAATCTAGCAAGCTTGCGACAAGAAAATGAATCTGTGAGTATTTATTTTGGAAAACTCAAAACTCTGTGGGATGAACTTGCTGTCTATGATCCCATACCAGCTTGTACCTGTGGAAAATTGACTGTCATTTCTGAGAGATATCAAAGGGATAATGTCATTCAATTTCTCATGGGTTTGAATGATAGATATGCAAATGCTAGAGACCAGATTATGCTTCTTGACCCAATCCCCCACATCAACAAGGTTTTTTCCCTTATTCAACAGCAAGAGCAGCAGCATAACATCGTTTCTGCCTTCCCAAATCCTGAGACTATGGCCTTAATCAACAAAACTACCTATTCTAATTACAAACCTACTGCTAAACCTCTTTTGAATGGAAGAAAGGAGAGGCCATATTGTAGCCATTGCAAAATACAGGGACACACTCTTAACAATTGTTTCAAGATAGGCAATGCACATGCTCCTCTTTGCACTTACTGCAACCAGACTGGTCATACTATTGACAAATGTTTTAAGATACACGGCTACCCTCCAGGACATAAATTATTCAAGGGAAAGGACACCAGGTCTTATGTTAACCAGATTAGCTCATCAGATGATTCGAATAACCAAGAAGTCTGTGAGGACAAAGTGAGTTTCACTAAGGAACAATATCAGCAACTAATGTCTTTGCTTCAGCACAAGGATCTCTTCACTGCTAGTCCCTCTGTAAATCATACACAGGTCATTCGTCAACCTGCTTCTTCCGAGCCTAAGGATTCCAAAATATCTGGTATGCCTCATTGTTTTTCCTTCTTTAGTCATAAATCTCCATCCTTCACTAACAAACCTTGGATAATTGACTCAGGTGCTACAGATCACATGATCTGTAGCACTTCTCACTTTTCTTCCATGATTTCAGAAGTTTCATATTCAGTAAAATTACCTAATGGTGCTTCTATCCCCGTCACTCATTTGGGTAATGTGCAAGTGAACAAAAACATTCTCCTTGCAAACGTCTTATGTGTGCCAACATTCTCATTCAATTTACTTTCTGTTAAACGACTCACAGAATCTCTTACTTGTTGCTTGATTTTCTTGTCCAATTGTTGTTTCTTCCAGGACCTTTCCACCTGGACCACGATTGGGATGGGTGAGCTCAAGAATGGCCTCTATCATCTAGTGACAGGGGAAGTACCTCCAAATGCCTTTACAACAACTTTGTCTTCTCGGGATTTTTCATTTCCATTTGTTTCTGCTTCAGTTGCAGCTGGTAGTTACGTTTCTGACCTTTGGCATTGTCGCCTTGGTCATCTTTCAAATTCTAGACTAGTTTTAATTGATGATCCTGCTGTAAAAGACAGTTTCAATGCTAATACAAATGTTCCTTGTTCCATTTGTCCTATTGCTAAGCAACAAAAGCTCCCTTTCCCTGTTAGCCACCATAAATCACTTGCCATGTTTGATTTGATACATTGTGATCTTTGGGGGCCTTGCTCAACCCCTGCCTACGATGGAACCCGGTACTTCTTGACCATAGTGGATGATTTTTCACGAGCTACTTGGGTTTATCTTATCCAAACCAAGTCTGAAACTAGAAGTTGTCTTGAATCCTTTTACAATCTTATTGAAACTCAATTTGCCACTAAAATCAAAGCTCTTCGAAGTGATAATGGAGCTGAGTTTCAAATGATTGAATTCTTTAACCAAAAGGGTATTATCCACCAAAGATCATGCATAGAAACTCCTCAACAAAATGGAATAGTTGAAAGGAAGCACCAACACATTTTAAATGTAGCTAGGTCTTTGCGATTCCAATCTGGTTTGCCTCTTCATTTTTGGAATGATTGCATTCTTACCGCTGTGTATCTTATTAATAGAACTCCCACTCCTCTACTTAACAATAAATCACCATATGAAGTCCTATTTTCTGTCAAACCTACCTACACTCATCTTCGAATTTTTGGATGCCTTTGCTATGCCACTACCATCTCCCATGGCCGCAAGAAGTTTGATCCTAGAGGTAGACAATGCATCTTCTTAGGCTATCCTTATGCAGTTAAAGGTTACAAGCTTCTTGATCTTATTACCAATACTACTTTTGTCTCTAGGAATGTTATTTTTCATGAGCATGTTTTTCCCTTCCTTTCTCCTCAGCTCATTAACTCTCCTTCAGAAAACACTAGTTCTTCCATTGGTGTCAGTCCTCAACCTGTCCTACCAGTCTTTACATACCCTCTTCCTGACCTCCTTAATTACCCACAAGCTCCAGCATCTCCATCTCCAACCATCACAGATTCTTCCTCATCTCACCTTTCACCTCCAATCCCATCACCTGAGAGTATTGTCTCTTCCCCATCATCTCCTTTTCCTCAACCCAATCTGCGCAAGTCCACAAGAACAAGGACTGCTCCCAGTTACTTACAGGATTTTCATTGTCAACAGGCTACCTTGACTCCCACATCCCACTCGAAGGTTCAGGTATCTCCTAATCATTCCACTTGCTCGTTTCCTTTACATAATTATTTGTCATATAATCATTTCTCTCCTTCATTCAAGGCTTTCTCTTCTTCCATTTCTGTTATTGTTGAACCTACCACCTATGCTCAAGCAGTTAAAGATCCTGGCTGGTGCAATGCCATGGAAGCTGAGTTACATGCCTTAGAACAAAACAATACTTGGATTCTCACTGATTTACCTCTTGGAATAGTGCCTATTGACTGCAAATATGTTTACAAGGTGAAAAGAAATTCAGATGGTAGTGTGGAACGGTTAAAAGCCCGATTAGTGGCCAAAGGTTATACCCAACAAGAAGGTATTGATTACACTGAGACTTTTTCACCAGTGGCTAAGATGGTGACTGTCAGGTGTCTTCTTTCCATTGCAGCAGTTCGAGGATGGCATTTGCACCAATTCGATGTCAATAATGCTTTCCTCCATGGTGATTTAAAGGAGGATATTTACATGATGAAACCACCTGGATATACTAAGGGAAGGCCCGATCAGGTTTGCAAGCTCTTAAAGAGCTTATATGGTTTGAAACAGGCGTCTAGACAATGGTATGCCAAGCTTACCTCATGCTTACTGGCTTGTGGTTTCTCTCAGTCCAAATCCGATTATAGTCTTTTCACCAAGTCTTCTGATAGTTCTTTCACAGCACTTTTAGTGTATGTTGATGACATACTTGTGGCTAGTGATTCCCAGGATACTATTGCTAATGTGAAAACCTTCTTGAATGATCAATTCAAAATCAAAGACTTGGGTCCTCTTCGTTTTTTTCTTGGCATTGAAGTAGCTCGTTTTCCTCATGGAATCTACATTTGTCAACGCAAATATGCCCTTGACATACTTGCAGATTCAGGAACTTTAGGCTCCAAACCTGTTCGTGTTCCCATGGATCAAAATCTGAAACTTAGTAAAGAGAGTGGCATTGTATTGAAGGATGCTTCTATTTATCGCAGGCTGATTGGAAGGCTGCTCTATCTAACTATAACTCGTCCTGACATTTGCTATGCTGTTAATACTCTCAGTCAATTTATGTCTAGTCCCACTTCTGATCATTTGGCAGCAGCCTATAAGATTCTGCGATACATTAAAGCAGCTCCTGGACAAGGCATCTTCTTCTCTGCTAACTCTTCCCTTCAACTACTGGCCTATTGTGATTCAGATTGGGCCTCTTGCCCTGATACTCGGCGATCAATAACTGGCTATTGTGTCATGTTAGGGAACTCTCTTATCTCTTGGAAGTCGAAGAAGCAATCTGTGGTTTCTCGTTCATCTGCTGAGGCTGAGTATAGAGCCATGGCAGCAACATGCTCGGAACTCACTTGGCTTAGATTTCTTCTTACAGATCTTCATGTTTCACACCCTCAAGCGGCCCAACTTTTCTGTGATAACCAAGCAGCGATTCATATAGCTGCCAACCCCGTGTTTCATGAACGAACGAAACATATCGAGTTAGATTGTCATCTAATTCGAGATAAAATCCTTGATGGTTCTGTTTCTACTTCTCATGTCTCTACTAGTCTTCAGATTGCAGATCTTCTTACCAAGGCTTTATCTTCTCCCCTCCTTAATTCTCATTTGCTCAAGATGGGAGTCGTTAATCTCTACTCTCCATCTTGCGGGGGGGTATCACAGTTTACAGGTGCTGATCTTGGTGCCACACAATCAGATGCTGATACAAGTGGCTCCACACAAGGCACATACACTACACATCATCAGCTCTTACCTGGCTAGGAGTACTAGAAGCTTCGTTTGTTATGCTTAGTAGCTAGGAGTACTAGAACCTTCATTTGTTATGCTGTGCTGTACACATTTTTCTTTCCATTCTGTTATGCTGTTAGAAACTTGTATATATATACACAGCATTCGTTTGTACAAAGCAGCATTCAATTTCAGAAATAGAGAAGAACAATTTCCTTTTTTCTATTTCTTACATGAGTGACATATATACGTGGAATTTGTGATGTAAGATATTAAGAACTCTGTCCAGATTAACCTTCGTTAGATGAACTCAGGACTATTTAGGGAAAAATCTGCCATGTGAAAGTCAGGAATGCATTTTCTTTCCCCTCCCTGAAACTGGAATTGGTCCCATCAGTTCTTTTTTGAAATTTCTGGAATACAGGTCTTCCTGACTTACAATTTCCAAAAGCCCATGATACATATAAAATATTGTTGCAAAATTCTTCCCAAAAATCTGTCAAAGCCTACTTTTCCTCAATAGGGTATTTGCGTCTTATGAGGACCTCTGGGGTGTTGTAGAGCTTTGAATACACTGAGAAGCCAAGAGGTACGATGGTATAATAACTACTATGAACTTAGGAGTTTACATGTTGTTATAGAAGTGCCCTTTCATTTGTATGTTATTGTCATCAAAGTCCTTGTAAGATTTAATTATAATAAAGAATACTATTGAAAAACACAAGTCTGAACAAATTTATATTTTCTGAACTTGATAAAATATAGTTACTAATTACCTTGTATTTTCAGGGAAGTAACCAGGTTGCTGCAGGAAAGCGCAAGAGAAGTAACCAGGTTTCTGCAGGAAAGAGCAAACCCAAGACAAATTTTGTTGAAGTTCGTACGTTTTTGCACCTATATAGGAGTTTTGACAGAATGTGGATCTTTTTCATATTGGCTCTCCAGGTACTGTAGGCTGATAAAATTTGTTCAAATTTTCCTTGTGCGTTTTTGTAGGCATTTACATTATTCCTGTCTTTACTACAACTGAGAAATGACAAAGGACATTGAGAATGGATGGAGAAGAAAGAGACAGAATAATGAAAGGAATAAATGCGGAAGTACAAGAGACGTAGCGTTTATGTCTTACACTGTTAATGCTAGAGTATACATTTGGTGATGGACAATTAAGTCCTTATTAAACAAACTGGGAACTCATCCATGCAACTACCTGTGTTTTCTTTTGTCTTCGTGTCTTTTTTCTTGAATATTTCTGGTTTTTATTACCATTCATTACATCATTCTAACCCTCACAAGTTCGATTCACTGGGAATTGAGATAATGAACTTTACCAGCGTAGTTTCATCAGCTCCTGAGGTAATATTGGACTCAAAAGGCAACCCAGGACACATCTATTAAAAATTTCCAAATTACCATCAACGGAAGCTCGTATTAAAAATGTCACGTACATTATGTTTATAGGTCTATCTTATGGAATTGTTGAAGACAGCTTGATAAATAAATTTGTCCCTCTCTAAATTCAAGTCTCAATGCTATCAATTACGGAATTGTTGACATTTCGTGCTATCTTTATATGATGTGCCCCCCTGATTGTATCAGGCGATGATTATCATTGCATGGCATCAACGTCTATCCTCAGGTGTGATTTTTGATGAGGACGTCATTCGAACAGTTTTGAGCATTTTTATCACGGCTGCCATATTGAACTTTTTGCGAGGTACGTGAATTACATTTTTTGTGTAGCTCTACTTAATAGATTCAACTCTGGAAAATATTGTTAACTGATTGAGAAAATCTCTTCAAGATGTTACTGTTTCTGAGTGTCTAGCTGTCTTTTTTGTCTGTCACAAGATAATTTACTCCATCTCTACCATCTATTCTGCAGCTGTGTTAGATATAACACTCACAGTCAATGCATGGAGAAATCTGAAATTTACCCAGATTCTCCGGTACCTCCTGAAATTTGTTGTTGCTGCATTCTGGGTTGTACTCATGCCTTATGCATATTCTAGATCTGTTACGAATCCAAGTGGGATAATGAGATTCTTCAGTAATTTGGGAGCAGATTGGCAGAATCAGTCATTGTATAACTACTGTGTTGCAATTTATTTGATTCCTAATATATTGGCTGTATTTCTCTTTCTATTTCCATTTCTGCGGAGAACAATGGAACGCTCAAATCAGAGAATCATTTCCCTCTTTATGTGGTGGGCTCAGGTAAGGAGATGCAGTATTTATTCGCTATGAATATATGATTTTATATTATTTAACATGTCCTTACTGAATCTCAGCCAAAGCTTTATGTTGGAAGAGGCATGCATGAAGATATGTTTTCCCTTCTAAAGTAAGAAAGCCATATGCTTTTAGTCCATACATGAATTCATATTTTATTTGTTCTTAATTTTTCTCTTTGTCTCATCTTCTTTATCTCCTCCCTTCCTGTCTTGTTCTCTGTTAGCAGTTGTTATTTGCATATGCTTTTTTTGGTAACCAATCTCTTCCATCCAAGATCAGAACCTAGTTTTTAACCACTCTTTAACACAATCCTGTGCTCAGGTACACACTCTTTTGGATAATGCTGTTAATATGCAAGCTGGCGTTCAGCTATTATGTTGAGGTGATATTTTGCTCACAGCTAAAAAATATGTATCTTGTATTGTTAGGTGTCTGAACAACAATGTTATGGGACTGAGATATCATGTATCAGTTTATATATTTATATTTTCTCTTTATTAAAATGCTTCTAGTTTTTCTTCACTCTATAGTACTATGCATGACGCATTATCATCCCAGCACCAAATCCTCTTCATACCATTGAAATTTATATCATGGAATCACTTCATGTGTGTGGGTGTAATAGAAACTTTTGCCTCATGTACACTCTTCGGTTCTACCATAAATAATAATGACACGAAGGCAAACATGTAAAGAAAGACTATTGATATGGAGAGAGTGTGGAGCTCATATGTACTATACTTTTATGTCGGTGAACCACCATTTCAAGGCTGATTTTTAAGAATCTATCCAAAACAGGTTGTTATATTGGATGGTATGAGAAAAGCTAAGAGTTGTTGGGCTGAAAGATTAGGAGAACTAGGCTTGGGCGCGGTTTGGTTTGGGTTGGTTTTGATTCCAACTGAAAACCAAAACCAAATTAGTCGGTTTAGGTGAATTTCAATCCAAACCAATCCACTCTGACTCTTAACCGAACTGAATCAAACCAAATCAGTTCGGTTAGTCAGTTTGGACTTTTAGTCCAAATTGATTAATTTTTTTATTTTTTTTTAAAAGAATTGTCCAAGTTTGAGGTCCAAACAGATTGCAAGAACTAAAATAACTTTATATTACAAGAATTTTTGATTAACTAATAAAATTAAGTTACTAGAGACAAATCTACAGAAAACTTAGGAATTTTGTTGTCTTTTTATGTATTATGTAGCCTGACTGCCTAAGTAGCGAAAAAAGGCTAAAAATAATATAATAAGCTTGTGAAAGGAAATTTTTAGTACTATTACTTACCCATAACATCATAGATTGAAGGAAATCGTGATATAGTTATGAGATTATGGCTTATCTTTTGATTTTTATTTTTCTTAAAATAAAAAGGGTAAACATGCAAGTGCGTTGGGTTGGTTCGGTTAACCAACAGTTTGAGGTTTCAAACCATGACCAAACCAATCCACCATGGTTTTGTTTAAAAGAAAACAAACCAAACCAACTACCTGTGTCAAACCGACCCAAACCAACTCACATCAGTTCAGTTTGATCGGTTTTTTTACTTTCTTCTTCCTCTCTTTTTTCTTTGGCCCAAGCCTAAGGAGAACCTTTATATCAAAAATGAAGAAGTTAACTGACATGCTAGCTGTTCCTGAAATAAAATAAAAATTGACATCTACTACACGAAGTGTATGGGCATAAGATTATATTCTATTGACCGCTTCAGCATGTTTGGTCAAGGCCTAACATGTCTGCATGAATTTTATAGTTCCCAAATTTTATTAGCTGTCTCATAATGTATCTATATATGGAGAAGTTTAAAAGATGGAAACAAAATATTGCCTCAATAGAATGTTGTACGTCGATTATTTATTCAATGCTTTTGTCTGACACACGTTTTCTGCAAACTTTTCTTTTCTGTCTTGAGCAGATATTGCCATTAATTGAACCAACACAGACGATCATGAATATCTCTGTCAGTAGCTATGATTGGCATGAATTCTTTCCAAATGGTAATATTTCAGGACCTGTTGAGTGGTTCCTGTTCTTTGTTACTCTCAAGGTTATGATTAAAATGATTTTGCACATGCTCATGATACAGCTACAAATAATATTGGCGTTGTTATTGCAATATGGGCTCCAGTCATTCTGGTATGTTGTCTGAACTGTTTATCTGACTGAAGTTTTCTGATTAGTTTGCCCTCCCGAAAGTCAAATCCGATGAAATTTCTATGTGTCAGGTCTATTTCATGGATACACAAATATGGTATGCTATCTTCTCAACAGTTATTGGTGGGATTGAAGGAGCATTCAGCCACCTTGGTGAGGTTAGTGGTTATTTTGCTCTAAAATGATGAGACGACTTCATGCAATTATGTAGTTATGGAATATTTGATCATGCCATTTCTTGATAGGTGCCTTCCATGGTGGAAAACATGATGTTTTTCTTGTAATCCTCACAATAACATATATTTTCGATTTCTTGGTGGCATTATATTTATTTTAGATAAGGACACTGGGGATGTTAAGATCAAGATTTGATTCTGTTCCTAGAGCTTTCAACAAAACTCTTGTCCCGAAAGACGAAATGAAACAACATCAACAGGTACTGCACTTGTTTATTGGGATTCTCTTGATATCATTTGACACACTGGAATTCTTGTATCACATGTGTAATCTATTTTATCTTTTGGTTTGGCATTTGGTTTTTAAAAGTTTTCTTCTGTCTAATATGCTGCCAATAATAATCTATTGGCATTTGGAGATTATTGCTAAGTGAAAACTGCTATACCAGGATAATGCAATGGAAAGCAGGAATATTGCAAAATTCTCACAGGTGTGGAATGAATTTATATTATCCTTGCGAAATGAAGACTTGATCAGCAATTGGTTGGTACTTTCCCTATGAGATATAACATCCAACTAATTAAAATTCTGCATGTTTTTTTTCCCTGACTAGGAAAATATGTGGGAGATCATCATTTTAGAGTCTTTGGTTTCTTTAACATAATTTATATTAGAAAAATTTCATTTTGTACATGGCTACCAATTTTCAGGGAAAGGGATCTTCTTCTTGTCCCATATGCACGAGGTGATGTCACTGTTGTCCAGTGGCCTCCTTTTTTGCTTGCTAGTAAGGTAAAATAAAAACATTTCTTACTTCTTTAATGGTCAATGCATTCCCCTTTTTGACTCGTCATCTTGATATATAAATTAGATTCCAATTGCGTTGGACATGGCTAAAGATTTCACAGAGAAGGAAGATGCTGATCTCTTCAGGAAAATTAAGAGTGATGATTTTATGTATACTGCAATAATTGAAAGCTATCAGACACTGAGGGTTGTTCTAATTGCCTATCTAGAAGATGAAGAGGAGAAAGAGTAAGGCATATAAGTAATTAGCTTGTATGTGTTTGAAAAATTGAATTGCCAGGAAGTCAAACTTGATTTTATCATCATGGACAAAGGAATCTTGTGACATGACCTTTTGTTGCTCAAATGACTGACATCTTGGACAATTGGTCCATCATTACAGTGTTATTCAACAAATATGTCAAAAAGTGGAAGACAGCATAACAAATCGAAGATTCTTGAGTGACTTTAAGATGAGCGGGTTGCCTTTATTCAGTGACAAACTGGATAAATTTTTAAAACTACTCGTAAGCTTTATCTTTTTATGCTTCTCACTTTTGAAATTTCCTCTCTCAATAAAATCTATATACTAAATGTCTCATGAGATCTGTATGCATAAATATGCATCTTTGCAGGTATCATTTGTACCTTCGCAGGTATCAGACGTTAATGAACATGAAAATTTTAAAGCTCAGATCATAAACAAACTTCAAGATATCCTAGAGATTATCGTTCAAGATCTAATGCATGATGGACATGAGTAAGCGTTCGAGTCTTTTTAGTCAGCATCTGTGCTTATTAAATTGCATCCAATGTTTTCGATATGTGGACTTCTCTTCTTTTTGTAGAATCATCAAAAAAGATCAGAAGTTTGAAAGGGTGAATTTTACACTTTCAGAGAATAGATCGTGGAGGGAAAAGGTAATTGGCGCTTGAGGATTTGTATATATAGATCGACTGTCTTCTCTGAATTGCTCTATGTGCTCATCCTTTCCCTTCCTTTTGGTGTTTTTCCATTTGTTTCTCCAGTTTACCAGGCTTTACTTGCTTTTGACCGTAAAGGAATCAGCAATCAATGTGCCTATGAATCTGGAAGCTCGTCGGCGTATCACTTTTTTTGCCAACTCGTTGTTTATGAAAATGCCCAATGCTCCAAATGTTCGTAACATGCTCTCGTTCAGGTCAGTTCTCAACTTGGAAGTCTCCACAATTTGTTTCCTGGTGACTTGTATTTCGTTTACATTGATGCAGCTGATACTGTAAGATTAGACTTGGAGTTAAATCCAAATCAAAATAATTTAACTAGAACCAATTCTAATTGATAAGATAACTTTTGTTTTCAAGTACTGACAAAATTGATTTCTAACAAAAGAAGAAATTTATTTGATGAGAAGAAGAATATAGAACTTTGAAATGCAAGATATCTGATGCCGAATGCTATGAGACAATTACAGGAGAAGGGGAAAGTGGGGAGAAGAAGAGAAAGGTGGGAGAAAAGAGATAAGAAGAGGGGAAGAAATTCAATTTATTTTATAATCAAAAGTTGTTTCATTAAAATGCAAAAGACCTCTTTATATAAGGTTTCAAATAGTTCTAATTAAAGCGGGAAATTATTACAAAATCAATGAAATCAAAACATTATTAATGTTTCCTATAATAAATTTCAAATTTGGAAACTAAATATAATAATATCTCTTTGATATTGTATCATTTCTCTCTGACTTAGAGAACTTGACTTCGGCGAGGCAGACTGAAACTTCAGATTCCGAGGAGTAGATTTTTATTTATTTATTTATTTTTAAGAGGGGAAGAAATTCAATTTATTCAATAATCAAAAGGTGTTTCATTACAACGCAAAGGACCTATATAAATAGTCATAATTAAAGTAGGAAATTATTATGAAATCAATGAAATCAAAACATTAATCTCACAATTCTCCCTAAACATGTTCCAATGAACCGCCTTCATGTACCTTCATTAAAAATTTATTATCAGATTAATTGTAAACAGAATTTAACTTATAACAGTGCATAAATTACTTGAATCTTATGATAATTTCTCCAGGATCAGGCTAGGGAATTGGTAATAATCTTTTTTTTTTTTCCCTGTTTCCCGGAAAATAAATGTGTGTTACGGAAGCTTAATGCAGGGGCCAGGATAATGTTTCTTAGATGAGGTTCCCAAAATTTTTGTAAAAGGATTGAATCTGTTACCATTATATTCGTTGATGAGAAGTTGCATATAAACACACAAGTGTGGCGTATCATTGTGTGAAAAGCTGACCAGTAATGTTGCCAACTCCATGAGGATATGTTTTCAGCTTTGTTTTGCATGTCCTTGAACTAATAATATAACTCCTACATTGGGGTGGTCTTAAATTCTAGTACTCTTCCATTTTTTATTTTATTTTATCAAATTTCACGTTTGCTGATTGGCTTCTATATCAATTGGATGGATGATCTTTAGACATTGATAAATATGCTCATTCTTGATGCAGCACCAATAGGATGATTAATAGAAACAGAAGAAAGATTCAGAAAGAATGGGGAATTAAGAGAGGGGATAGAAGAAGAATTCAATAGAAGAAGGGGAGTGATGCGCCATAAGCCATCGAAATAATTATTCATTCATCATCAACTGAAAATTAGAATGCAAAATAGGTTTAAATAGTAAAGCAATCCTAACGAGCTTGGGCCCGAGCCCATACAAGTCCAAATTTAAATAATAGTACAAGAAAATAAATAAAGTTTAAATAAAATAAGTAAACGTCGTCCGATGTCCTCATCAATTCTCTTGCATGTCTGATTTAATATCGCTTTGGTTTCTGACTCAGTGTTTTGACACCATACTACAACGAAGACGTTCTTTATTCAGTGGAAGAGCTTAAGCAGATAAATGAGGATGGCATAACAATTCCATTTTACCTTCAGACAATTTATCCAGGTGAATCCTAGATGCCTTGCTTTTTGCTGTGATTGTTCTTGTTTTGGAAGCATTTAATAACCACATGCACTGCTATGATTAAAAAGATGAATGGAAAAATTTTGTGGAGAGAATCAAAGATCCAAAACTTGATTATGACGATAAAGACAGAACGGAATTGGAACGTCAGTGGGTATCTTACAGGGGTCAGACGCTTTTCCGGACAGGTAAAGATATGAGCAAATTCTCGTATGCATTTCATTTTATGAGTTGATCTTACATTCACTTTTCATTGGGCTCTGTAATTACATGTTTCTTGCTGGTCCCCAGTGAGAGGGATGATGTACTACAGGGAAACTCTAGAACTCCAGTGCTTTCTGGATTTTACCGATCGTGATGATAATGGTTGGTGGATATATCTCTAATCTTCTATTAGAACATGTGTAATTTTGAACAGTTTATTTCAATTTCTTTCTGCAATTAGCAAATATGTGCTTCTCAGTTAAAGCCATTTTTTAGTTGATTACTGTATATTCCTTTGCAGCTCTTTTTAGTGGCTATCGGAACCTTAATGTACATAACAGAACCGACAGAATGCTCAAGGAACGATCACAGGCTTTGGCAGATCTGAAGTTCACATATGTTGTATCTTGTCAAATTTATGGCGCTCAGAAGAAGTCCAGTGAAACCCGAGACCGAAGTTGTTATTCCAACATTCTGAATCTTATGCTGCAGTAAGTTGCATTAAGATTGAATTCCCAACTGTATGTATTGATTCCTGACGTTGACAAAAATGCTATTATATAATTGATCTTCTAGGTATCCATCTCTGCGTGTTGCTTACATAGATGAAAAGGAGGAGATGGTTGGTGGAAAAACTGAGAAGGTTTATTATTCTGTACTTGTCAAGGGAGGCGTCAACTTGGATGAGGTACATTTTTGAGTGTCATATATGTGGGCCAAACAGATAATTTTATAAAATTTTTGCTGAAAATAATCTGATATGATTTAATCAAATTTTTGTCTTGCATGCTTTAATTGGGCATATAAATTTTGTTTCTATATTGAAATGTCAGGAAATATATCGTATCAAGCTTCCTGGTCCTCCTACAGCAATTGGTGAAGGGAAACCTGAAAATCAAAATCATGCAATAATTTTTACTCGTGGGGAAGCTTTGCAGGCCATAGACATGAATCAGGTATGATACCTCTTTTCTTTCTTCAAATTTGACTATCAGCAGTGCCCGAGTAAATAAAATTCTCGTTGCCAACATCTCCCTTCATTCAAGATGGATGCAATTTCAATCTCATGCGCGCACCAAATGCCGCTATTTCCTTCTCTTGACAATAACGACATATATAAATATGTGAATTGAGAATCTGACTTGAAACAAGTCCATACATTCAAGATAATTAACTGCAATCTGAAACTTGAATAGAATTCGAAGTTATTTAAATTTTGGTGTTACCATTCATTGACAACTTCATATGATATTTGTAAACATAATAAATAAAAGATGGGCGTGTTTCTCTTTTATGCTTAAAAACATGTATATCTGGGTTGAATGGGATAGGGTAGCGTAAGGAATAACTGTGGATTGTGCATCTCTTAAATGAATCAAATGGTCCTGAATGAATTAGAACAAATGAAAGATGATTCTCTTCTTCAAAACAGAGTAATTTCTTATTCTATTGATGTTGGGAGAGGGTAGTGACATGAGAAGAAGAAGAAGAGGGGAATCAGAAAAGCAAGTCTGGTTTTCCTTTATTTATTTTCTTTTTGTTTGTATTTACTGTGAAAAAGAGAGAGAATATTTTTTGACAGTCCAGAAGTAATGTTAAAACTCTAATTTGCTCTAGAAAATGGGCAATTTAATTTGGCATTTTTCTAACCATTTCATTAAACATTACTAAGTAAATTATTATTAATCTTCAGGATAATTATTTTGAGGAAGCTTACAAGATGCGGAATGTTCTAGAGGAATTTTTGAAGATGCATCATGGACATCGAAGGCCAACAATAGTAGGATTAAGAGAGCATATTTTTACTGGAAGGTTTGTAATTTGACAAGGGGTTATATATATGCGCATATTATATTTACACTATTTGCACATATTCTTACCTTTCTTCTGCTGATTTATAGTGTTTCTTCACTTGCTTGGTTCATGTCCAACCAAGAAACTAGTTTTGTGACAATTGGACAGAGAGTTTTGGCAAACCCTCTAAGGTAATCTTCTTGTTTTTTATTTTTGCTTGTATTTTTTTTGACCCACTTTAGATGTCATTCTGACGTAGCGGAAGATTATTGGGAAGATGAACAATATCAAAATGAGAAAACTCTCAAGGAAATTTTTATTGAATTCAAGAACTGCCGCCTCAAAGGGCTTACAACACCTTAAATAGAAAAAAAACCTAGCAAAATTTGGAAAAATATATTTTTTCAAAAATTGAAAAATATGAGATAACTACTAAGATGAAAAATCCTTATCTTCAGGATCATCCTTCAACAAACGGAATACAAATCCAAATTTTATGGAAAGAGATATTGTAAAAACAAAAATTACTATAAATAGCAAAAACGTCTAAATAAGGGCCTAAGCGATGGATTTTGCCCAAAATTGGCCTTCCGTCAAAGCTGAAAGCGCTAAATTTTATTCATTGTCTCGATTCCAATCGAATTAGACTAGTAATTAGCCAAAAACGAACAAACTCGAAGTTATCATAAAATCAAAAACCACTTTTATGCCTTGCGATGGTCCCATTTTATCATAAACTCTAATCCCTTATGCACTTCATCACATTCTATGTGCAATACTACCATCAATAATTAAACAAGTGAAATACTCAACTAATTGTTATATGAGTGATCATTTTATTTTATTTTCTTTTTTAATCAAAGTCTAGGCGGGGTTTGTAGGCCTCCACCTAAATCCGATTGGGGCGGGGTGGGGTTGGTTTGCATTCCCCATCCTTGTTTTATAGATAGAGTTAAAGTACGAAAAGGAAGGGAGGTTAAAGCCTCAACTCCAGAGAGTACAAAGGAGGAGATATAGAGTTATTATGAAAAGCAATAAATAAGGAAGTATTACTTCCTTCCCTTACGAAAAGGAACTAGAGAAGAAGCAACAGTACACGTATAAAAGCTGAAAACATCTTGGTTTCAAGGTAATTTATATCGAAAATATTGGTATGCTTTGCCTAAAAAATTGAAAAGAGGTTAGAGCATAAGTGCTGCTTTATAATTCTTCATTTTGATAACTACATCTGGTCATGACATTTTCGTTGACTTTTATAATTATATGACAACTTCATGGAGAAAGGTTCCCTGAACTAGGGTAGAGCTTGTGCCTTGTAGGAAGACGAACACATAAATTAATAGTGTCATTTTGTTATTCATATTTGTTAGTTATAACTTCAAAATTTTCATTTATGGTGATCACTAATATTTAAATTTGATATAATGATGAATTGTCACGTTCTTTATCACGATGCCAAAATTTTGAATAGAAAGATTGATATATATTAATGCACACTCTTTTGCACTAGCTCTCTTATGAATATTAAAAATGTCGAAAGTTCTCAAAAGGAGAAATAAAAAGATTGATGTGCATTCATGCACTCTTGAATGCATGTACTCATATATGAATGTTAGAACTGTGAAAAACTGAAATGCAAACTAGTTAAGTACAAGGTAAGAAGCTTGACATTGTATGTGGACCTGTTTTTAAATATGGTTAAATATATTCATTCTAGTTTTGTCCTTCGTTCCACACTATGATATTTTTAACTGGTGCAGAGACTATTCTTCTTTTTTAATGACTACTCCAAAGGATGCCTGCTTGCATGACACAGTTATTCGGTCAACTCAATTTTAGACATTCCAATTTTCTTGTTTCCTTTAGCAAATATGACATAGGATTTAATGGGAAAGGGAAGAGAAGAAGAGAAAGAAAGGGGGAAGAGAGAAGAATTGAGGAGAAGAAGAAATCTGTTTATTTTATATATATAAACTCAATTTTAATGCTTATTTTAGGAAACATTAAAATAATTCCATATTTTTCCTGAATTTCACATGTTTATTTTGCTTACTCTTCAAACACAAGAATGATTCATCCCACATCCATGACATAAAAGCCTAGAATATTGATATCTAGAGGTATCTATCTATCACCACATTGTCTGAAAGCTTCTCTTTTATCAATTGTATTCTTCTTTTATTTATTTATACATCATTGTCTTTTCATAAGGCATGAATGGTTATGGGATGCAAGTGTTCACTTTTAATATCAATAGACTGTTTAATAACACAACCTCTTTCGAAGTTCAGCAGAGTCACATTTTGATTAGTTTTATTGCTAAATTTGTGTTGATTTTGTTTCTTATTATACGGAAAAATTTTCATAATAACTTTGATTGGTAGTTACTTTTACTAGTTTGCTTCACTAATTCCATCTGTCAAACTCAATGGTTGATGTTTAATGAGGGATGGATCCTGTGAATTTTCAAAACAAATCTGAGTATTGTGTAAAAATATCACGTGGCACCTTAACTACTTGTCTATGTACACAGGGTAAGATTCCACTATGGGCATCCTGATATCTTCGATAGAATATTTCATTTGACAAGGGGTGGCATAAGCAAAGCTTCGAAAACAATCAACTTGAGCGAAGACATATTTTCTGGTAACTTTTGTTTGAAGCTTTCTTCAAGAGAGAGAAGATTGTATTGCATTATTTGATGTTTGATTGGGTCACTATCTTCAGGCTACAATTCAACTCTGCGAGGGGGATATGTGACACATCATGAATACATCCAAGTAGGCAAGGGGCGAGATGTTGGTATGAATCAGATATCTCAATTTGAGGCAAAGGTTGCAAATGGCAATGGAGAGCAGACGCTTAGCCGAGATGTCTATCGGCTTGGACGTCGATTTGATTTTTATAGAATGTTGTCCTTCTACTTCACAACAGTTGGATTTTACTTCAGTAGCATGGTAAGTGAGATGATTACTTACCCTACATTTGTTTTGACCACAGATTGTGAAAAATTTAGTGTTCTTTGCTAATATATATGTAGTTATTGAATTATGCTTTTTATTTTGTTGATTAATGTGTATGCTCCAAATCAAGAATCAGTGGCTAGCAATTTGTGTACCTTAGCTGTCCTTGTCAAGTAATTTCACAATGAGGTTAAGAAGGTGAGAGAAATTTATTCTAAAAATGCTAGTTTGAAATTAGGAATTTTTTTGGAAGAATGCCCTGTATATAAGATGTAATTATACTTCACATACTGTTTTTTCAAAAACTAAAACTAGAAAGGATTCTTCTTAATACATGAAAAGTAGGATGTAATTACTACTGTTTCATTAACCTTGACAAATTAACATATTTCATAAGTTTCCATCAAAAAAAAGGAAAAATTGCAAACCGTATATGGAGTGTTCTATGCTCATGCAGTATTTTTGGAAATTAAATATGTACTGTCCTTGACATTTCACCTGTTCCCTTGTCATTTATGTGAGAGGGGTCCTTGTAGTTCTATAGTTAAAAGATTGGAGTAATATTTCTGTTGAAGTTCTACTTGATCATGTGGCTGGAATTTTTCCCATCTCGATGATAAGAGTCAAGATGAACAGTTTAAACATCAGATTATTTGGTGCAAAAATGCGCACACACATTGAGTTAGTAATTTTATGTTCCCTTTTACCTGTGGTTTTCCTGTACTTAATCTGATGTCTATAGTTTTCATATTCTTCTAGTGCCAGCGCCTTTTAAGACTTTTTGATTCTCTCCATTTCCTTATTGAATAAATGGTTCTGTCATATTGCACTGTCTCCTTCCTTTATGTTTCATAAAAGTTTCTCCTTGCAATTAGATTTTGATTTAGAACTATTCTCAGGTTACAATAATTATTGTATATATCTTCTTATATGGACGACTGTATATGGTCCTGAGTGGATTGGAAAGGCGGATTTTGGAAGAACCAACAATTTCAAGCAAAGCTCTTGAAGAGGCTTTGGCTACCCAGTCTTTCTTTCAGCTAGGCTTGTTGCTTGTGCTACCTATGGTGATGGAAATTGGCCTAGAAAGAGGATTTCGTACCGCTATCGGTGACTTTATAATTATGCAGCTGCAGCTGGCATCCGTGTTCTTCACATTTCAGCTTGGAACAAAAGCACATTATTATGGAAGGACAATTTTGCATGGAGGTTCTAAGTACCGAGCTACTGGTCGGGGTTTTGTTGTTCGTCACGCCAGCTTTGCTGAGAATTACAGATTGTATTCTCGTAGTCACTTTGTAAAAGGGCTAGAGCTTTTAATTCTGCTAGTTATTTACGAGGTCTATGGGCGTTCATATCGTAGTTCGTCGTTATACTTCTTCATTACATTTTCAATGTGGTTCCTTGTCGCTTCCTGGTTATTTGCTCCATTTGTCTTCAATCCATCTGGATTCGACTGGCAAAAAACAGTAGATGATTGGACGGATTGGAAGAGGTGGATGGGAAACCGTGGTGGCATTGGGATTTCAGAAGATAAAAGTTGGGAATCATGGTGGAATAAAGAACAGGAACACTTGAAAGTCACAACTATAAGGGGAAGAGTTCTTGAGATTATCCTTGCATTTCGCTTTTTCATTTACCAATATGGGATCGTCTATCATCTTAAGATATCTCATCAAAGCAAGAGTATTGTGGTAAAGATTATTGCATCTCTGTCTATACTCTTTTCCCTTTTTGTCTTCTCCATTTGTGCTCTCATTTTTCTTACTTTAAATCATTTCTACAGGTTTATGGCCTTTCTTGGTTTGTCATGGCAGTGGCTCTTGTGGTCTTAAAGGTATGCACTTTGAGTTTCAATGAAGGTGTATATATTGACGAAAATGTTCTCTCACTGTTTGATTTTTCCAAATCGATTAGATGTTATTCATTTTATACTGTGTATTCATATTGTGTAATAGATGATTCTTCTATTTCATTTTCTCAAACTGGTTCAACCCATAGTCACGAGTCTCTTTATACTTGTCAGTTCTTTACATAGTCACCAAGTTTGAAAATTCCAAAAAAAAGAATTGCTTCACCTTATATGTGTATTCTAATGAAATAAGAGGCACTTCATTCATGAGGAGTGCTTGGATGAATGGTGCACATAGGAGTATTGCCCAAGAGGCATCACTCAATATTGTTAGCTTGTTCATAATTAATCTGCTCTGATGTTGGTTTTATGTCATTTGTATGCAACAGTTAGTGTCCATGGGTAGACGAAAGTTTGGTACGGATTTTCAGCTTATGTTCAGGATTCTGAAAGCACTGTTGTTCCTTGGTTTTGTATCTGTCATGACCGTATTATTCGTGGTAGCCGGCCTTGTTGTGACTGATATATTTGCTGCTATCATCGCCTTCATGCCTACCGGATGGGCCCTTATCCTAGTAAGTAAAAATTTATTCATTACAGTAGACTCCAAATTTATTGGTTAAAAGCTTTAGTTTTTGTTGTTCTGTGAAGTAATGGTGATCTTAATAACATTATTACTCTGCATTTTCCTAAGATTTCTCAAGCATGTGGACCTTGCATGAAGCGTATTAAAATTTGGGATTCAGTGATGGAGTTGTCGAGAGCGTACGAATGCATAATGGGACTTGTTATATTCATGCCCATTGTTGTTCTTTCTTGGTTCCCATTCGTATCAGAGTTCCAGACGCGACTTCTCTTCAACCAAGCATTTAGTCGGGGCCTCCAGATTTCGATGATTCTGGCTGGGAAAAAAGATATGAATGCATAATGGGACTCATTATATTCACCTCCCTCGTTATGCTGTCTTGGTTCTCATTTGCATTAAAATTCTAGATGCGACTTCTCGTCAACGAAGCGTTCTGTCATGACCTCTAGATTCCTTTGATTCTCCCTGCAGAAAAGATAAAACACCATTCAGTTGATTCTTACGGTTTTCATTTTTAAATTTGTCTTAGCTATGTACCTTGAGACTAGTGTTAGATTCATTATTTTATGAGGATTCATCAGCATCTGATGTTGTATCAAGTAGAATGAGGATGAATAGTTCACATTTTTAAAGCTACTGTAGAAAATATACACATATATTATACATATATATAATACTACTTCGGATATCAATCTTTCTGGGAAAACATTTCACTATTTTTGGTATATTGGTTTGGACTAACAGAAGCAAATAGAACAAAAAATGGAGGAGAAGCCTAGATGTGTGGCACGATGATTAAGTCCTTATTTGAGTTCCATTCTTTGGGGAAAAAAATATATTTTTTAAATAGTATTTTGACATTATTTTAATCATACATTTTTCAATAAAATAATACTACGCGTAAATTTAAATTTTTTTTTATTTTTTAATCACACATTTTTTATCAATACATTATTCAAAAATACATTTTTTCCCAAAAGGAGGCTCAAACAAGGCCATGTGAAGGAGAGAAAAAAAAGTTTGATTGCTTAATGCAGACTTTAGTGTCGAAAGGCAAGCCACGGCATTAAAAGAAGCGCCGAATGGAGTGTGCCTTTTTATTTTTCTCTCCAATTCTTTAAAGAGTAAATAGCAAATAAATAAAAGGAATAATTATTAATCCACTTATTAAAATAATTAAATAGTCTTACTAAAATAATTATGATTGATCTAAGAATAATTAAAAAAATATTATATTACATAATCATAAGACTTGAGATTTGACTTTATCATACCTTGCGCCTATCGAAATCTTATTAAAACGTAATTTCTCCTGAAAAATGACTATTTTTGTTTCTTTTTTTCCTTTTTATTTTTTGTATGAAACGTGTTACATATATTTGGTATATTAGATTGGATTGAACGGAACAAAAAAGAAAGTGGAGAAGAAGTAATATTAAGTGGGAAAAAAATGAATTTTCTTGACAAATTAGGTTATAAGGTGTGAATGAGCCAGCTGTGCACCAGACTTTCTCCCCAATCACAATTTTATAATTGGAACTACTAAATTATTTTCAATAATTAACTCCGGCCACTAGCCGTTAAGAAATCTTTACTACAATTTAAGCACTAACGGACATAAAGATAATAACCAGACCGTTAATAATTATGAGGAAAAATATATATATTTGTTATTTTGTTATATTTTTTAATTTTTTTTCCCCGCAATTAACGCACGACAGTAATTATGCCAATATGCCATCACTCAATGAAGCCGTTGGGTAGTATATCGTTTCAATTAAATAAGTTTAAGTTAAAATCTTGTTTATTTAAAGTCGAGAAAATATATTTCGAGTTATAAAGCATGGAATGTCGATACTGTTTAGTCTTATATAATATTATAAGTCAAACTTATTTAGCCATTGTTTGGTGTGGTTTAAAATAATATTTTTAGTAGATTTTCGATAAAAGTTGATGAAATGTGTGGTTGAAAATTTGTGAATCCCACGAAATGTGTAAAATTAATTGTTGACTTTGACTTATATTAAAATTAAGACTTTAATCATATCAAACATATTTATATAATAGTGTCCAATTTTATCTAGTACTGTGTATCAAAATCTATATAAAAGGCGTTAAAATTCAAGAAAAATCTCGACTTGGTCATTAAAATAATCAATTACCATGTTAACCTCATCAACGACATACTCGGCATAGTAGTTGGTAAACCTCAAGTGAACTAATGGCAATTGAAGCGATCAATTATTTCCAACCGATCTCTTGTTTTGGCTTAGTTTTGACATTTTTGTTGTTTATTAATAAAGGAAAATATGGTTAAAGTTAAAGGGAGCAATTGAATGTGAGATTTTTATCTCCTAAGATATTGCGTTTTCTTTTGAAGATATTTAATTTCACGACATAGATACAACGACTATCATTTTATGTCAAAATTTAATTGGTCGATGTTGAATTTGAAATGGATGCCACTAAAGGATGACCAATTATATAAAATTATTTATCTTTAGTCACTAAACAGCTCACAAAAATATTTTAATAACTAACTTGAAATTAACTCATTTGAGCCTCGGCCAGCGGTATCCTTCCTCACCAGTGATGTAACCTATGCCCATAGCATTGTGCACCATATATAAAATACACAGACACCCCTCGAAAATGACACACACAGAGAGAGATGAAGAGGATTTGGTCAATGAAGAAACTGAGCAGAGAGTGGCGGCCATGGAGGTTCTCCTCTTCCCTAAAATGGAAGGGTGTAAATTTTCAAGTATGGCTAGTTGATGATGTTATTTTCAAGATTGTATATGTGGTGGAGGCCATTGTTCTTGTTTCTACTTTGTGCTTCTTCTACCTCTGCTGTGGTGGTCATTTATAATTTGATTGGATTATTTTTTTCATTTTGATTTTGATTTTTTTGAATTTTTTTGTCAAATTCTACTATACTCAATTGTATTTTTCTATTTGAAGTTTGCGATCTTTTTGTTATCATCTGGAGCCTAGAGGAAACAAATAATTTTAATCAGTAGGTTAGATCTAAGGAGTTGAATTCTTGAAGTGTACAAGGTTGTCCCATTTTGTTTTGCGATTCTTAAGGTAAGATTATCTATTTATTTTTTTTCAAGTCTAAATTTATAATGAATAATGTTTATTTTAGTGGATGGTTTAAGTTCTTAGATAAAATACTTTGGAAGGATATAGAGTTGATAAATGGTTTTAGTTTAAGTTTCTTTGTTATTGATGACAATTGTGCGCTTCAAGGTCAGTTCGAAGAATTTTGAGACACTAAGAGTAATAATTATGAGACTTAAGGAATTTTTTTTTCAAGCATAGGAATAGTTTAGTACTAAACAATTTACATATTTATATTTAGATGAAGCGTTGTACAATTCAAAAGATAAGAGTAGCAAAATAAATTTTTCACAACACTAGAGATTAGACTAAACATAATATTTAGCCTTCTCATTATTTGAAATGCAAAATTAGTATTCAAACTAATCAAATCAAGTTTTTCCAGTATATTTTTTCAATAGAAATCATAGCTCATCAATTCAATCTATTGTGACATGGTTGATCGAAAGATAAGACTTAATCAACTACAATTTCAAAAAACTTCTTTTGATGATGTCAACGATGACATGAATAATCAATAATACTACACAAGCAACCTAAGTATTTGAAAAACAGCAATTCATTCTTTTAATATAATCTAACACATCAATTGCTCTATTAATTTTTGTAGGTGTTGCTTCCTTTAAAGCTTTCAACTCAAAAAATAATTTTACCTCATCATTGTCAGAAATCAAGTTATGCTTCAAGTAATTTTTTAGTTAATGCAAAAACACTTCAAAATAGCATCATCAATATATTCAAGCTTTTTCAAATCAAATAAAAATCTGAAAATATTATCATATTTGTGAAATTGTTCAAATATATGTTGAAGTAATGATAGAGCTTGATTTACTACATATATGAAACAATTGTCGGTGAAAGATTCTTCTCTCTCTCTTTCTTTTTTCTTTTGTGTGTGTGTGTGTGTGTGTGTGTGTGTGTGTATCATGCTTTCATAAGAGGTCTCATCAAACTGATTCCTTCTATGCATAAATATTTTTTCACAAAATATCGATCCACTTTCTAATTTATTTACAATTCTCTTTAGCATCCACTAGGGCCACTTCAACCCAATATTAGTAGCAACGCCAATATGCACGTCTTATGTTAGCAAATATTTGCTTACATTCTTAATATTATTCAACACTTCTTACTAAATAACCATCTAATATGAGAATTCAAAATTCAAAATTCTCAATTCTATGTTGTCAAACACTCAATCTTATTTTTTGTCTTAAGAAGAAGATCAACACTTGTCAACTGGAGTAGAAGTGTTATTTTTTTTTCTTAAATATTAATATTTGTGTAGTTTGGGATCTTATTGCCCTAACACTTGTAACATAACTTTCCCAACATGTTTGTAACAAAGGGCTTAAAGGTAAGATCATTTATATTATCTTTGAAATTTTTTTTACTGTTTAGTAGATGACGAAAACAAAGTATATATATGTTACACTACGTTGAAGAAAGATATAGCTTTTGATTGAGTTCATGTTAGTAAATAATGCAACAGAGATTAAAAGTAAAAAGTAAAATTTACCTATATATTATGGAAGTATTTTTTATTTTTTTATTTTTTGGGTGAGGATTTGGGGGTTGGGGGAATATAATGCTTGTTCAGGAAATATTATAAGTCACTTATAAATTTAATATTAATTTAAATCATATATTTCGTAGAACGCACTACTATACTACCACCGACTTATTTTACTTCTAATTATCACATTATAATTTTATCCGAACAATACTTAGAAAGTGATTTCTTGTTTCATTTGGTCTTCACAAAAATTTCTTCAAACTTGAAGAATCTTTTAGGTCAAGGCATCTTTCTTGAGATGAGTCAACCATACATTCTTGATTTGGTTAATCATTCAAAACTTGCATGTAATTCCAAAGGGCAGGATATTCAATTTACTAGTCCTTATTCCTTAGATGAATAATTTGACTAGATTTTGTTTCCAAAGTATTGCTATCTTCTTGAAAATTTATTCTTCATAGTCAAAGATGAAAGTAGGTCCCAATCTTTCAACTCAGAAGAACATCTAATAGATTGTTTTCTTCCGTTTGAATGTTAAAATGTCATGCGATAGTTGCATGTTTGATTTTTTGAGCGTTATTATTAGTAAAATTTTAATTTTATTAAAAAATAAACTAAAAAGGGGGAAAAAAAGAAAGAAAATGATGAAGAATAACCCAACATTCACATCGTACAGATGCCCCCTTACCCACCACCTCCTTACTCTTCAAAAATTGGACTTCGTGATTCATGTGCTACAAAATCAAAAGGTTAAAGGTCTAGTTGGTACAAATAGATCGAAGACACTAGCTTAATTATCTATAAGTACTCGGGATACATGTCAACTCCCAAATGCTCATTTTAAAACCTCTAAAATTGATGATATTTATATGATTGATCTCCTAAGTATCGATGCTGCTAAACACCAATGACATGACAATGAATGATCTAAAGAGCATCGAATGCATAGCTTGTACTATGCACCATTGACGTGTCAGATCAATCCATTGATGGATAGATTTGAATTTAATTCATTATTCACCAATGGATTGATATGACACGTTATCGACACTTAATTGGTGTAAGATGAGTATGTGTGTGCGTTTGTTTGTTTGTTTACTTACTCGTATTATTATTCTGGATTGCAGGCCAAAAGCGTATACATGCCGAATTATTGGTACAATAAATAATTAATTAGTACACACCTGTTAAATAATTTAGGGCCCAATAATGTGGAATTTGTTGTGATTTTGAAAGTCTGAAAATTAATAGAAGAAAGACAGCCAGAGCCAAAATTGTAGATTTGGATGGATGATGTTGAAATTAGGCACGGAGTCTAGTTTGATAGAATAATGTAATGACTTCTGATAATGATATGAACAAATCGACTTTCATTTATTATTATTATTATTATTATTATTATTATTATTATTATTATTATTATTATTATTATTATTATTATTATTATTATTATTATTATTATTATTATTATTATTATTATTATTATTATTATTATTATTATTATTATTATTATTATTATTATTATTATTATTATTATTATTATTATTATTATTATTATTATTATTATTATTATTATTATTATTATTATTATTATTATTATTATTATTATTATTGTCTTTGTTAGGTAGAAAAACCTTGCTATCCTATTTAATTAATTATTACGATTTTAATAATAATTTTTTTTAATAAATAACTATGCATGATGGTACATTTTATAAGATATTCGAATAGTTCATTTCCTATATTGTAGGATTTTCGATTGAAAATGTAAGAGCTTAAATTGAATTTGAATCCATGATGAAAAAAAAAAAAAAATTGTTCGTTGGTTGTCATAAAATAGAAATCGATTAATATTTCGCAATTCACATTGGTTTCATTTGCTGCTGTACTCCAAAATGTGAAAATCAAAGGGAAAATTCGGGTTGGCTTCCCAATCTTTCTAGTAGTATAGTTTTGGGTAACTTTCTGAAGTCTTGGTTCTCAAACTATTTAATTATGTAAATATGGATCTCTAAACTATCAAAATGCGAACGTTAATATCATTAGCAGCTTTCCATGTTAATCAAAATGAACTTTAAGTGGTCTCATGGTCTTGGCCTCTAGCTTTAAGTCATGCTATTTTAATATCCATATTGGCGATTTCGATCATGAGGTTACCTATATTTACATATTTGAACAAGTTGGGATTTAGAACCTCAATATTACCTATATACTAAGAAGAGACTAGACAAATGTATTCATAGATTTCATTGCAAGCTTGCGAGGAAACAGCTACACGGCTCCTAAATAAACTACTGAAAATATCAGATAAAAACAGTCGAGATAGAATGTATTCCTACCGTAATCCTCTATTTGTAATACGGAACATAAAGCAGACTTTTCTTCGCCAATCAAGCGTGGGATGTTGAAGGACATGGACCACAAAACCATAGCCTAATATTCCGTACATCGAACATAAAGAGTTTAGGCATCCTTTTGTGTTCATATTTCCTATTAGTCCTTTAGTTGTTCTTTCAAAAATGTTTTCCTCTCTCTCTCTCTTGACTCTTGAGTTGAGATCTGCTGTCCAAACGACTGTCCTTCCAATGAATTATTGACATATCATCAATTTGATTGGTTAGTAGTAAAATTAATGAAGATAAATTTGAAATGATACATTAGTTATCAATGACACATTAATAATTTATAATTGGTTAGTAGTGAAGTTAATAAAGGTAAATTTGAAATAATATATATTAATTATTGATGACATGTCAATAATTTATTAGATAGACAGCCAATTAGACAGCAAAATTGGGTAGCAAACCACAACTCTCTGTCTCCATGTCTGAATTTTGATGTTTAATTAGGCTGTCTAGATGAAGACAAACCAGTGAATAGTTAGCGGCGTGCCTTCACTGTCGTTCTACCTTAAACCATTTTAGTCTTTTTTTTAACCTCATGTCATTTTCCCCTCAACTCAACCTCATCAGGTAACCCTTAACCCCGTCCAGGCAATTACAAAATTCAGCATATTCTTGATGTATTTCACATTCGTAACTTAAAAGAGAGAGAAAATACGTGTGTGAGAAAAGAACCCGAATGGTGGGTAAGTAATGACTGCAATTTACATACCATATGTAGATATAGAATAATATCGAAAAAACATCATTTTCGGCATCTCTGTCAAACCCTCCTACACACACATATATATTAATGCCTCTTAGTATCCTCCGAGTGAAACAAGGCCAGGAACAGTAACAAAAAATTTCCATATCCTTCATTACAAGATGGGGAAGAAACCAAGTCAATCTTCCATGAAAATATCTAAGAATGACAAGAAACAACAACATCCCCTCAACAGTTTGATCAAGAATTTACGTCCCAAAGTTTACATCATCGACTCTTCGAACTTCAAGAATCTTGTTCAAGAACTCACTGGGAATGGGAATGGAAATGGAAATCCTCCTGTCTTGATTTCATCTCCGCCTCCTCCTTTTGTATCTACATCCCCTCCGATAGATGAAGTTCGATCAATTATAGAAATCGAAGATCATGCATATCAAGAAAATAGTCTCGAGTTTTCATTTGATTCATCAACATGCTTCAGTACCCCATCAGAAAGCCCGGATCTACAATACCGGCCGCCAGGACCTGCGAATTATATATTAGAAAATTCCAAGAATATGAATTTTTCATCACTGTATGGGGATATCGATCATGCATATCAAGAAAATAGCCTCGAGTTTTCATTTGATTCATCAACATGCTTCAGTACCCCATCGGATAGCCCAGATCTCCAATACCGGGCGCCAGAACCTACGAATTATACACTGGAAAATTCACAGAACATGGATTTTTCATCACTGTATGGGGATATTGAATCGTTGCTATTGGAGATGGATCAAGTTTCTAATTACGCTATTGATGATTCATGCTATGCAATGATTCAACAAGAGGCATGTGTCTATGATTATGATTTCTCTGGTTTGATATGATATATATTTGAGTACAAATCATTCTCTACTGTCTATAGTTGTGGATATATTTTTATATCAGTTTATATCCAGATTAGGAAATTTAATATGGTATGATCTAAGAAGCAAGGTGGTGTGTATACATATAAACATTTCTGTACAAATTGAGGACACTATAGTGCGTTGTTTATTAATATATGCAAAAGGGTGTGTTTGTCTTAATCTTTTTTGTATATTACTATGTGGGTTTGTTCATGTTCATGGATCTTCTCTCAGTTCTCTCTGTACAATATTTTGTATATTATTTATGGGTATTAAAGTTTATTAATTTTATTGGAGTAATTTTAATCAACTTTCCCTATTTTATGATGACAAAAAATTTACTGCAGATCTGTAGCAGTGGAAAATGAATTATTAAGATTTAATAGTAGTAGTTCAAATTGTTACGTGTTGGTTGATATTTTTATCTTTATCTTTATCTTTATTCGACCCGGGATTCTAATTTTAATAGATTTAGCCACAACTAATTCAAACCATGTCTCTGAGGGTATTTGAATATGAAAATTTCCCTAATATTTTCATTTCTTCTTATGCCATTGATCCAAAAAAGGAAACATCGGAGAAATTTGAATAGACTTAAAAGGGAATGCCATGAAAAGTCTATTTTCAAAACCTAACATTAAGGGCATTACAACGTAAACCTTGACACTGATATAATAACAAATAAGTGTGTAGACAAACCTATGAGACTCAGTTGTACGTGCATCAAATTTATAATAAAAAGAACAAATGCACAATTCTCATATATAACTCAATGAATTTTGAACTCAAAGCATTTATCTCCTTTACATTGTATTGAATTAACTAATCGGAAAACTTAAATATTTAAAAATATTTATTTATTTACTCAACCTGAAACAAGTTTTACAACTAATGGAAAATTTTCAATTGTTTGTTAAGTGGGAGAAGATAAATTTGTTTTAAGATTTAAATTTTTCAATAGGCTTATGGCTCGTTTGACGTGACTTTTGCTTTTGTTTTTGCTTCTTGTAAAAATTTTTTGGAGAACAATACTTTAGTTTTTGTTTGAAAATTAATTTTTAAAAACACCTTCTATTCTAGAAGTACTTTTAAAAAAAGTCATATTACACTAGTTTCCTCTAAAAGTTCTTCCAATTAGAAGAAAAACTTTCATAAAATTAGTCAAACAAGTTCAAAAACTGCTTTTGAATCTCAAGAACTCCTTTTGACTTCTCAAAAATCATGCCGCCCTTATTATTTACAGATTTGTGCCCAAGTCCCATATAAAAGGGAAAAAACGACAACAAAGAAAAACGTTTAATATCATGAACTTCCATGACAAATAATCTGTCATCAGACAGATGAGACAACAATTGTATTACTGTGAACACACAGTTCATTAAACAACAGAAAAAACAAAAGACATTGGTATCACAAAGTTTTATGTGACAGTAAATAATTTATTTCAACAATTAGCAAGAACCACTTCTCATTATCAACTCTTGCTTTGTGTTTGTTGTGAAGGTGCGGGGAGGCTATACAAGGACTTCAACTGCCTGCTAATCAGCTTACTGTTATTAAGTGCCATTTGTAATTCCAAGTCATCAGACCACCATTGTTCCAAACCGTGAGCCTCGAGAAACTTCTGTTTGCCCTTCGAAAGGACGAAAAGTTTTGCAGGAACCAGTCCATTTGGTGGTTTTGCATTTTCTTTATCAGAAGTTTTGTTGTTGATCCCATCTGGATCGGTAAAATAGCAACAAATGTAGTCGCTATTGTTTACATATAAGTGGGGTATCCATTGCTTTGATCCCATAGCAACAGATTTAACTTCCTCTCCGTTTGTTTCTGTAGTCGAAGTAATCATTGACCTGAGCCTCTTCCAAACAACCCCAGATTTTTCCCCGATGTTGCGTAAACTCATGGCTAATGAAACTGAGGGTGGATTGAACAAATGCGCCTCCACGTGGATTCCTTCTTTGGCTAATGCTTTCCCAACTTGGAGAGCAAAGCCAGCCCCCAAAGAATGGCCAGCAATACACACATTGCTGCTTCCATATTTATCAGTGATCGATTTCAAGGCCTTTAAAGTACAACTGAATCTGAATGATCCCTTCAAAGTTTCAAGAGCTAGGAACCGGAGATCATCCTCAATGTCCCGTCTAATTGTCGGGCTTTTAAGCAGTGTTCCTCTAAGTGCCAAAACTGCCCTCGGCGCTCCATTTGGTCTGATGAGTACAAATTCTGCTAAAGCTGCAGCACGATCCCATTCCAGTATTGCCCCAAAAATTGATCCATCTCTTTCGTCTATGAGGATTTCAACCAGCTTGTACTTAAAGGGGATCCACCACTTAGGAGCAAGAGCATTTTCCCCAGTTCGGTTTTCTTGTTTGTCGAGTTCAAGCAGGTACACTGCTTGTATAAAACATGCAATTACTGTCCTTTTATAATTACCATCCTTCCTGTAAACAGTACTGAAATCATGTCAGATTTTCAACTTTTAAAGAATTGGCTCCTATCCAAACTGCAAAAAGGATTGAACTTTAGATTATACATTGAACTAAAAGACGAGAACAACTACTTCAACAACAAACAAAGCATTATCCCCTTTACACAATTGCCTCTCCTTTCGGATTCATCATGTAAAGACAAAAAACTTAGGAGTAAATTAATGCTCTTCAATAAAATTAATGCCAGATATGCACAAAGAAAGTTGGGATATCATTGCAATATTTAAGAAAAAACTTTCTTCATCATATGGAAAGCATTGTGACATTTCGCAGTACGTTTTTGGTAAATACTAAAACCTTTTAGTACAATTTATTTAGACCAATTTGGCTAAAGATTTAGAATCTCACATTTCTACCAAATTTCTCTGCAACAGCATTTCAAAGTAAGCATAAATATAAGTTGAGACTTGAGATTAAAGACACTTTTGTCTAAGCTTAAAACAAAAGCACCTCATTCAAACAACATCCCCTCACATGTCGTGGAAAAAAAAAAAAAAAAAAAGATGCTTTTAAGCTTAGTCTAACATGAGCAATTTTTTGACCAGTCTAGTTTCACAAATTCATGTAATATACTATCAATTTAATGACTCACCACATTTGTGCCGCACAATTTAATTACCAATTCAAGAATTTGTTCTCTTGAAGAATGACCATTCATGAAAATTATGGTAAACTAGTTTCAAGTATTTAACTAATGGCGTATACATGGTGAAATACAATCTATAGTAGCAAAAGCATCCACCAGTTTCTAACCCGATCAAAGCAAAATCAGCCTATACTCCCTTAAACTATAACTTAACTACAGATATCTTGTGCAATAATGTGATGACGTAGTTCCAGTTGTTCTTCAAGTGTTAATAACAACACTACTTATTAAAGAGAAACATAATTTAACATCATCCCTCTAGTATACCGTATAACAGTTTTCTATTGGCAAAGGAAGGAAATAAAAATAGTACAGATTATTGTCAGTGCCTCCAGATTATAACTGCAAACTCAAATAGCTTTAAAAGAAATCTACCCAAATACTGATCAAAGCAAAATCAGCCAATACTCCCTTAAACTATAATTTCTCTACAGTTATCTCGTTCAACAATGTGATGACTTAGTTCCAGTTGTTCTCCAAGTTTTGTTCTTCAAGAGTTAATAATACAACACTACTTATAAGGAACCATATGTAAATAGCATCCCTCTAGTATACCACAATACAGTTTTCTATTGGCAAAGGAAAAGTAAAAAAATACATAATAAATAAATAAATTAGTCCAAATTATTGTCAGTGCCACTGATAAGTGATAACTATATCTGCAAACTAAAATAGGTTTAATAGAAATCCGCCCAAATACTGATCTTTTTATCCCGGTCAAATTATATACTTCATTTTCCTGCACCAAAAAATTTCAATATAAATCAAATCTAAAAATCGATAATAAAATGGAATCCAAGTATCCAAATCTAACTTAAGACCAATCGAATTACAGAAAAAAGATTATGGCCTTTCAGATCAAGTCAGTGTTAACCCTTTACAAGAAACTAACACAAGCCAACATCCTATTCACCCTAGAATTGAAAAACAGCCCAAAATCCAACCTTTTTAAATAAAGAAGCAAGCATTCTGCATACCCAATTAAAGCACAAGTCAGCTTTTCATTCAAGAAAACAAATACACACACAAATAAAATCAAGCTTATAGTAAAATGGGCTCGGATTAAAGAACGAGAAAATGAGGATTTGGGCACTAACCAACTGGAATTGATGAGATCCTTCCAGTTTGGGGAAGACACATTACGGGGACCAGAAACATGGAATGCATATGGATGTTGCATCTCTTCTTCTTTTTCCACCACATTCAAAACCTCATTTTTCATTTTCTCTGCACCCTTCTTCCACATTCCCCGAACATGTAACTCTTTCAAATTTCTTAGGTCACTGATTATTTATTGCTTTATGCAACCAAGAAGAACCGAATAAGAAAAGGGGAGAAAGTGTACAGAATAATGGGTGCGTTGAGCGTTGTGGAATCGGATTCGAAGGAATAAATGCGGATTTCGGATTTCAACTATCAGTGGTGTTGGATTTCCTACAAATCTATTGTTAATTGTTGCTAATTTTGAAAACGCCTGCTTTTGGTTTTGTTTGGTCGTGGGAGGCAACGGTCATAATTTGCTTCAGATAAATGGGAGTGGATTGTTCTTTATTCAATTTAGCTCCATGTTTTTATTAGTCACTAAAGATTAAAATGTCAAGTTTTAATCATTGAACTTAGGTCTATATCTTCGATTACTCGCTGAAGTTTAAAATATCGAATTTTGACAAGATTAAAATGTCGAGTTTTAATCATTGAATTTAGGTCCATATCTTCGATTGCTTACTGAATTTTAAAATGTCGAGTTTTGACCACTGAACTTGAAATATGCCAACTTTACTCACTAATATAATTGTTGAACTTCAAAAAATATCGAATTTACATTGAGTAATGTACAACATTTTTCAAATTTCAGTAATAAATGTACAACATTTTTAAAAATTCAGTGGCCAAAACTCGACATTTTAAATTTCAATGAGCAATTGAAGACATAGACCTAAATTCAGTGATTAAAATTCGACCTTTTAAACTTCAGTGACTAATCAAAGAAGTGAACCTAATTTCAGTGATCATTAAAACAATTAACTTGATACATGGTTCTTGATTTGTGCTGTACTGGTCTGGATTCCATTTAGTAGAAGGCACAAAACCTTCTTGGTTAAGGAATAAGAATAATTACGAAGGATATTTTTGTCTTTTTGTAGATAGAGTATTTTCGAGGGAAATGTACTTTTCAATGGTTATAAGTGCGAGTAAGCTAACATTGGCAAATGTAGTTGCCACACGACTAGAATTTATTAATGAATAGTAAAATGACGACGCCTAAATTTATCACTCGGACGGCATTTTCAACACACAAAATCTAGCCCAATCTTTTTTATTTGGGCTGGACTTATCTAGATTCCATTTACTAGGAGGCATAAAACCCTCTTGGTTAAGGAATAATAATAATTATGAAGGATTTATTGTCATTTTATAGATAGTATTGTTGAAAAAAATGAACTTCTCAATGGTTACAAGTGCGAATAAGCTAACATTGGCAATTGTAGTTGTCAGATGGCTAAAATTTATGCATGAGTAGTCAAGTGATGACATCACTTACTCAGTACTTTCAACACACGGAATCTAACCCAACCTTCTATTCACCAAAACAAATGAAATACAACTGTGGTTTGTGGGTAACAACAAATAGGCTTTACGCTTCAACTAGCATTTTTAAAAATACAAAATCCAATTGTAGATTATCGCAGTTAGTTCAAGCTTGAAATTGTCTAACATGGCCAACAATTGTTGTGTGTCTAAATTAACCATTGATAATCGAATAAGTCTGCATGGTAAAAACTAGGGCATGCCATGCGCTATCCGGATTTCGAGATTGAGGGTTATATTCTAACATTGCCCATGCCTTGTGTCGTGTCCATGCACAACTAATCCAATTCACGCTCACATGATCATCCTTTGCCTTGCATCGAGCCCACAAAATGCACCAATCGAAAGTATATTTATGCCAAAGTGGCATGGGAGCAAGGCATTGCCCATACCATACTTATCCAAAATAAGGATTTTCAATTTGTCACTTTACATCCCTGCACGTAGGCCTAGAGTCTATTGCTCTCCTTGCCTTAGCTGCACGCTGACTCAATTACCTATGTCGGTCCCAACATTACGTTGCCATCACTTAAATCCCGCACTGCCCCCACTTCCTTCTTCTAACATAATGCATCATCTTACTATCTCAGAAACCAATAATCCCAAGGTCGAGGCATGGCTCATGAGGCAAGGCAATGCCCATGCTTTAGCTAACTCAAATTGAAAGGGTTAAACAATAGTCTAGTAGACTGTTCTAAGGTGTCCCCCCCTTTTTTGTACTTTGTGATTATGACTAGTAACTAATCAGTCGATTTGATTATATAAAAACATTCTCTCTTTACGAGTAATAATCCAATCTATTACATTTTTCCGTGGCATGCTAGAGACATTAGAATTTGAATAAGAACATTTTCATTCAAAAATTACTTTCTTAACATATCTAATCCAAAGGCCTCATTCCTATGTCGCAATATTGTAAGGAAGAACTTGACATGCTCATAAACCCAAGGTTCATAAAGGTCATTGAAATCTTGAAAATTCCAAAAAAGAGTTGAGTCATTTAAATCTTGATAGTTCACTCCATCTTTTACTGTTAGCAAATGGCAAGACGATTCAATTGCGATGTCACTTGTAGTGCACTATGTAATATTTACTATTTATTAGCAAGAGCTGATGTATTGAGATGTTAAAATCAAGAGGGAATCGCCGTATCTCAGCTAAAAAAACTCCTTTAAGTAATATTTGACATTTAGAACAAATACTAAACCAACAGAAAATTGCATCTTATTTAAAAAAAAAAAAAAAAAAAGAGAGAGAGAGAGAGAGAAATTATCAATAACTTCCTTCAATTATCAGTTCACATTTAGAGAGTACAAGGGGAGAAAATACACAAACAGAAAACAAAATCTCATCTCTCATTATACTGCAATGGTGCAAAAGCAGAAGAAGGTTAGAAAGAATCCAATGTCAAAAAAGAGTACAAAAAGTTCGCTTTTTGTTTCATCCAAGTCCTCGACAATTCTGTGGTGGTGTTTCTCTTTGCTTATTTCTTGGAGACAGTTCTTGATCAGTTGGTTGTACTACTAAAATCACCCCTTGATTTTGTATGTAATACCTTTTTTCTTGGAGAAGGTACAAGAAGATTGTGAGACAAATTTGAGCAATAAAAATAATTGTCCAAATCCTTGCACTTTTTGATGTTTTTTCATGGTAGGCTTGTAAACCTGTGTATATATTGATCACTCCATGAAAAGATACTCCAATCCCTAGTAACCAGTGAAAAATATTCCAAATGTTTCTTCCTTTCCTTTCCCTGCACACAAATTGTTTTTTTTCAATTTCGAAAACGTTTTCTAGAGTTTTGGTTTGCAAAACATGTCCCAAAAGGTCCCGTTTCACCTGGCTTTTTATAGTAAGAAATTGCTTTTCGACTTGTGTTTGGATAATTTTCTAAAAGTACTTTGTCTCATTAAAATAGTTTTTACGGGAGTCCAATATAACTTTCTAATAAAACTCTCTCATAAAAATCAGAAACAGAAGCAATCCCGAACAGATCCAAAGTTTTTGTGTTTTCAAAATAAAGATATACCTATGTGGCCTTAAGATGCCAATTAAGGCTTGCAGCCATATGCCACCATAAAGGGCTAAGCCTACTCTCTGGTGAAGATTATTGAGAGAGTTGTCCAAGTATTTTAATGACAATACTGCTGCTACAGTTGCAAGAAGGACTGCTATAATCTGCAGAAGAAAGTATAATTCATACTGGGACCATAGCAATAGAAAATAAGTAGAAGTTAAATTAAGCATAATGCTATTACTTTTCCTTGAAGTAGTGATAATCATTAGTAGAATCAAGGATGGAAATTTTCTAATTTATTGAGTGTCATAAAGGTTGATATTGGGGGTCATCTCAATCTAATTAATTAACAAAGTTCCAAGTTCTAATGATACCTTTTTCTACGACATGATAAAGATTGTTGAACTGCGTAGAACTTAATTATACTGTAAATTTATCTCACCGACTGTAGATCGCCTTAATAAAGATTTTTATTGGAATATAGCTCTCACATTGAGGCTGAACTAGTGCAAAACCATTTATGGCTTAACGAATCAAAAGGTAAAAAACATATATGTAGACTTACCTCTGTAATAACATGAATGTAGAATACGATCCTTTGCCTTTTGTATTGATTCTTCTCCATTCGACTTCCTCATTACAAGTATACCAACCGGCATTAGAAAACCAATCAAAGCCCGAAGGAGGAATCCATGGAGTTTAATCTCAAATAATAGTTGAGGATTTATCTGCAACTGAAGACACAGAATACTTAAATTCATCAAGAATTTTTACAGTTGTTAAACAAAAAAATTACCTCATGAATCTTGTATTCGTTGCTCGTGTGTCTGTTATCAATTTCTGCACGTTCTTGAGATGAACAGACTGATGATGGAAGATTAAGAAATGCAAGGCCTGCAGGAATGGCAAAGTGCCTAAGCTTCCATGAGGACAGCATTTTTCAATCTCTGGTAAGAATAAAGATACGAATATATGAGTAATGGCAATAGAGAGAAGCAACTGCAAAAAGTAGTTTTTTTGTTTCTATTTCTTAAGTAATGAAAGGTGGGATTGTGGAAATAAAAATATTACCAAGAATAGATAAGATAAACCCTTCAAGACGAACGCGAAAATATATATTAAAGAAAATATAAAAGCGCACAAAGTACTAAGATCGAAATTCTTTAAATTATTTATATCAAAATGGGGAATCCTATATGTATAGAACAGCAAAGTGGTTGGCTACCTATTCTTTTTTGACATAAAAACGAATCAATATTCTCATCCTATATCCACAATACAAAGTTACCGCGTAACTTTTTGTTTATTGGCTCTAAACAACAGTTTCAACCATAGAAATCCCATCCTTTCTTTTTTATGGTTATATCCTTTTGGAACATAAGTTTATCATCGCTTTCTGCTATAAAAAGTTGCACAGTACTCTTTTCTATTCTCTTTTAGGTTTATAAAGCCAAAGTAGGATCATTAGAATTATGTTGTTTGGCCATGGTGAGTATATTTCATTGATTATTCAAGACAAGAATTTTGAGACATATGGGATATGGTTATGATTTCAACAAGGTGGTATCCTTTTCACAGGCTTTTGAGGTGGTATCCTTCTCACAGGCTTTTGATTTAGTGGATAGAAAGCAGAAGAGTGGAAAGATAGTCAAAATGTAATGGAGGGAAGAAGAAATTTTGTAATGAATTTATTGAAATTTTCGTCGAAAATGGATGCTTTCTTTTGATGTATAAACCACTAGTATAACTTGGGAACGATAAAATCATGTTACATTACCTGTACCTTGTGTTGTGCTTCTTGTGAGGTCCCATCATGCAAGTTTTACTGAGGAACACAGATCAGAAAGCACAATAAGGAGAGTCAGTTTGAGAATGGAGTAGAAGACAGAGGGAACATGACAGTATATTTATCATCTTATGCAACTTTTAGTAATGAGAAATCTTATATTGATTGCAAAAAAGTTATATAAATGGTCCCTCCATTTTTGAATAATGCACTTGGGTGTATATTATCATGATGATAAGTTGGATCCAACATTCTTGATTTCTTCTCCTTCTGGGAATCCTAATTTTTTTTTTTTCAACGTGTTAAGATTTAATTCATACTTACGAAAATAATAAAAAACAATCAAAGAATACACACATATTTATAGTGGTTCGCATTGTACAAGTTGATCTCAATCTTGACCAAAATTAAAAAGGAAATACAACTTTCTTAAATCCTTTTTATTATAGGGATATTAGGTTGATTTGCGGTCAAAAAGTGAGTGTACAGTATAATTATATTTTAAGACTGTTTTTAGACCATAAATATACCGTGATACACAATGCAAGACTTTCGTCTCACGATGATTAAGACCATTAAAATGTGTGATTTAATTGCATAATCTTCAGCTTGAATATTGAAGAAATTCAACCTCCACAAATCATTTTTTTCCCTTTTGTGACTTTGTCAAAAAATTATGCCAAGTTATAATTAGATTTCACAACCAACTTCTAATTAATTCTTTGCGAGCTATAATAAAAAATCATAGCATTTATTTCAAGTTGGTAACATGTCACTAATAAGCTTCAAATCAAAACTAATTGAAGATTATGTTCGTTACGATAAATCAACCTAGATCATAAAATTGCGGGCACAACAAATTGCATCATGAATCTAGTGATCTCTCCCTACTCATGCAACACGACAAAATTACCATGAGTTTTATGTGGCCCAAACTGAATGCGCACTAAAGTTATCATATAGAAATATTGTCGTTGGATCCTATCTGAAGTATTACTATATGCTAGTTTATATCAAAGTTGATGTCTATGTGAGAGAAGGACTAGCTTGAGGATGATCATGCTCGACTTAAGAACCCAAGAATGCCATGCGAATGAGTCATATTAAGCTGTTCAAAATATCACACATGCTCGAGAATAATGAAATGACCCATTAACTTTTGAAAAGATAATAAAATATCTTTATAATATTTTTCTAAGATTAAAAATATATAAACCAATAATACAAAATAGTCTGGCCATTCTACCCTACTGTATCCTAATAAGGCCTACACATGATCCAGAAACGTCTTGGGCAATAGTGGGCCGGAGTTAGCCCAATACAGTGTTAGTCCATCTCGAGAAACGCCATCTCCTCCACTCTCTCTGAAACATTTGCAATCATTCAACCTTCTTCTCTCCATCAATTCTGCAGATCCAATGAACCCAAATTGAGAACAGAATATAAATTTCTACAAAGGTTGATAGCTTTAAGCGTCACCAACAATGGCTGGAGTCTCAGTGGCGGCAGAGTGGCAGCTGCTCTACAACCGGTATCACCGGAAGCCTGAGCTGTACCAGATGCAGTGGAAGCACGTAGACCTCATAAGGAACAAGGTCGCATGCGCACCGTTCGGAGGTCCTATCGCCGCCATCCGTGACGATGCCAAGATTGTACAGCTATTTGCCGAGTCCGCCCTTCGCAAGCTCCGCATCTTCACCTCCTCCGGCCAATTGATCTGCGAAACCGTCTGGAAGAGTCCCGGTGGTCGCCTCATCGGTATGTCATGGTCGGACGATCAAATTCTAGTCTGCATCACCCAAGACGGCACTGTTTATTTTTACAGTATCCACGCTGAGTTAATAAACACTTTTTCTTTGGGTAAATAATGTTTCGAAAGTGGCGTTCTGGAGTGCGTGTTCTGGGGAAACGGTGTCTTTTGTATCAATGAGGCGTTTGGAATTTTTGCTGTGCCGGATTTGAAGAACCCCAGGGTGGTTCAATTGGCAGATTGTAAATTGGAGGATTTGCCGCATTGTATAGCTGTGATTGAGCCGCAGTACACCATGTCAGGGAACGTGGAGGTTTTGTTGGGAGTCGGGGATCATGTCTTGTTGGTGGAAGAGGATGGGGTGCAGCAGCTGGGTGTAGGTATAGGGCCTTTGCAGAAGATTGTGGTTTCAAGGACAGGGAAGCTTCTGGCTTCGTTCACGCATGACGGGAGGCTTCTGGTTATGTCCACGGATTTTTCAAACATTATCTTTGAGCACACTTGCGAGGTACAGTTAATTTCATCAAAAGTTTTTGAATTTCAACTCAACTTGAGAATTTTGGCTTAGTGTGTGAATTCTAGTAAAGTGGTATAATTTTATGGACAAATGAAGTGCTACTCCATTGCAGTGGTTGATTTGTATGGAAAGATTGCGTCTTTATTGTTTAAATGCATATTATAGAAGAAAAGTGCCACGCAACTTGATAAGCTGGTTGAGAATGGTTTACCTTCTATTTGATTTTTCATTGTAATCATGGAATTTCCGGGTGAATAGTAAGAATTGAAAATAGTCAGTTGGTAGTCTTCTTTGCTGCATTCTTTCTTCTGAGTTTTCCATGAACATAGAATCAGTTGCACTTTGAATAAATTTGCCTAGGTTTAGAATTCTTCATTTTTATTTTTTATCTTATAGTATATCTTTATTATAAGCTGGCCATAGAAATAAGCTGCCTCAAATTACATACATGGACAAAATATAGATAGGATATGTAAATGTTGTCTTGCTGAGTACTTATTTACAACATCAGCGGGATCATGTTATTTCTAGTTAATCAGCCTATCAATTGAAATATTGTACTTCAAAATGAAGAATTGACTGCCTCTGGGATTATGAAATGGTAAAACTTTTGGAACAGCATCTAATATATCAGGGAGGGATGATGGGAGTATGAAGCAAATAAGCAAGCTAATAACTATGTACAGCATCTAACGTCTAATTATATATTGTTGTATACTCTTCAAAGACTCAATTTAGAACATGATGACAAGTAATATTTCAGTCTTTCTGATATTCTCCATTATCTTTGTGTGTATAGTCAGCTCTTCCTCCTGATCAGCTGGCTTGGTGTGGAATGGACAGCGTCTTACTATACTGGGATGATATGCTATTGATGGTAGGTCCTTATGGTGATCCTGTGTGCTATATATATGATGAGCCCATCATTCTTATTCCTGAGTGCGATGGAGTAAGGATACTTTCTAACACAAGCATGGAATTTCTGCATCGAGTCCCAGATTCTACAGTATCTATCTTTCAGATTGGGAGCACCCTTCCTGCTGCTTTATTATATGATGCCCTGGATCATTTTGACAGGCGGAGTGCCAAGGTAGTCTGCCTATATTATCGTAATTCATAGTTCAGAGATATTCTGATGAAGTGACTCTCATCCTTGTATTTGCCTTTAGGATGTTCGTATTTAAGCATTTGGTAATAGACTCTGAGAGTGACCCTATTTTCTATGTTCACCTTAATGTCTTCTTTCATGCATACTTATACTGTTCCAATTGTTGATGGGCTTCTAACAAATCATGGAAGCTTTGATGTAACCTTTATTACCAATATTGTGCACTGAGTAAGGTTTTATTTCAACACCAGGATCACTAGCTGCTCCCTTACTACACCATTGCCATTAATTTGGGAATTTGTTTTTTCATCCAGCTACTAATGGTGATATTTCCTACCATCAACAACCCAGCATTGGGCATTTAATATGAGATTTTCATTATGTAAGGAGGGAGAAATGGCTTAGAAAGATATTTGATCTCAGATGATGGGCTTCTTCCTCTCTCACCTTTTATAACATGCTATCAGTTTCTCATTTTCCTTTGAAAGCGTCGCCCTCAAGATATCTAGTAGCTACATGTAACTGGACTCATTGAATGATAAGGATAAACCTCCCCGTTACTTGTGTTCGCGAAATTATTTGTTTCGATTTTTAAATCCACCGCAAGTGTACGGTTCGTTAACAAGTAGTAAAATGGATTATAAGTCCAAGTATCGATCCCACGAGGATAGAATTAGTTCGAATTAATCTAATATGACCTTAACTGAAACACGACAAGCAAATTGTGTTTTTGTACTTTAACTAACAAAATATAATTGTTGATGCAATTATTGACTAAGGATTATACCAAGTTCTAAGTAACTTGGATGCAATTTAACTAAAATTTTATAGAATTAATGGATGTTCTAACTCACTAGGATCACGAATCTCCAAGCAATACCCGTTCAATAGTCATTTATGCAAATTTGACACACAATTCCACAAAAAATGAATCGATATTCTTATTTTAATTTAGCAATCTCTTTCGAGCAATGCCAAACCTAACCCAATATATGATTCGACTATATTTCTATGACGAATACTAATATACCGACATGCATTATAATTCACGAATATCAATTGATTCACACAAGGCATAGAGGTATATTTATATCCTCTATCTGACCCTATGACGATTTATACTATGTCAAACCTATTTTTCTTCTTTCGAATGCATAAATCAGGTCACCACATTCATATAATCACGTGCACAATAATTATATGAAAATAAAAACGAAATAAATCAATCAATTCCGGAATTGGTGTTTACATACGTCAAAAATCCAAAACAAATTAAACATGGTATTACAAGGTTCATCGATCTTCTAGTAGCAATAAATCTAGCCTAACATGCTAAAAAGAACAAAACTTAAAAGTATTTGAAGAAACAACATCACCCGAATCAATATTCACTCCGATCTTCAATTGACGCGATGTTTATCTCTTGTTTTCTCCCTTGTTTCTTCTTCAAAATCTCCCAAAAACATGTAAAAACGGCGTCTCCTTCGTTCTGGCCGAGTTTTTGTATTTATAGGACCCTAAAATTTTGTTTCCATAAGAGTTTCGGAAGAAAAAGGAAACCAAAATTTTTTCAAATTTTTGTTCTATGCGACCGCATAGAGTAATTCTATGCGGTCGCATAGAAGAAATTTTTCAAGCATAATTGCCTTCGGTATGGTACTATTCGACCGCATAGAGGATAATATTATGCGGTCGCATAGTACTATCAACTATGGGTAAATTGCGATTTGGTCCTCCCACTTGTATCCTTGACTTCTTAGCATCTTCTTTTCATTCTTTTCATTTCATCACCCCACGATAGTGCTGTAAGCAAAAATCGCCAAACCGGAAAATCGAACCGAAACAGCATTTTAGAAACCGTCGATTTGGTGCCACGTGGACCCGGTCAACGAAATGGTTTTGATTCAAACCAAACCTGTCAAAATGGTTTGGTTTAGATTTGAGAATTTTAATTGCGGTTTAAAACTAAACCGGACCGGCGAAAAAATATATAAAAATAAAAAAATGAAAAAATGATTTTTTTTTTATAATTCATCCAAATATGTAAAATTCAATAGCTTCATTTGTGGGTATTTTTGTGTCAATTTCTAATTTCTAATTTTCTAATACAGATATATAATCTTAATATATATATAATAATCTCAAGACTAACATAATCTATCAAAATTCATTTTCCTCTTCAGAATTTAGATGAACTCCAGTCGACATCTAGCACAATCTTGAGCCACCGGCATCACACACTTCTTTTTCAGATTTTTCACGCTTCTTCAAAGTTGAATAGTAGTATATTATACCAAATCGGAGACAAAGAGATCCTAGACATTCGGTGATAATATTTGCTACGAATAAAGTTTCAGATCAATAATTTTTTTGGAACAAATTAAGGTAAGAATTTGAAATTAAATGTGTTTCGTAACATCATACAAACGTAAACTTATGTAATTGTTATGTTTAGATATTATAAACAATAGTTTTATTATTGTGGTTGGTTATTCTCTTTGTCTAATTAGTATCTTTTTTTCAGATATGATGATCACGAGATTTTATTGAACATCATTATATTTTTTGGGGCTTATATCTAATTTAGTAGACTTATATTGTAACGTTATTATATCGTCATTAGCCTAAAAAAGGTGAACAAAAATGAAAAAAATATATTTTAGTTTATTGTAATTTTTTTTTATTTAGTTGGTATTTAAATTTATAGTAGATATATTTAGCCTCTGTTTGAGCCATATTTTTCATATCATCATAACGAGAAAATTGATCGTTGGAGAGGAGGCCAGGTCCCACACATGAAAGTAGGTCGACAAAGGCGGTTGGACTTGTGGGATAATGGTCCAAATTTTCATTTTCTTGTTTCAAAAATTTGGTTCAAACAGGGGTTTAGTTTGTTTTAGATTTATTGCTAATGAGATATAAATATATATTGAATTCAATAAATTAATGACATAAAAGTAGACGAAAAAAAATATATGGTGAAACCAGCAGTTTAAAATCGGACCAAATCGTTAGGTTTAGGTTTGAGTTTTTTTCAAACCGTTTAAAATGGTTTGGTTTAGATTTGGATTTTTCTCAAACCGGTTTAAACGGTTTGGTTTGAAAATCTGTCAAAAACCTGTAAAACCGGAATGCTTACACCCCTACCCCACGATATCGTCAATTGGTAATTGGCCTAATCGATTTCTCGATTTGTTCATCGGATCAACTTTTGGATATTTGCATTGTTGGTCCTTGAACTTTCACTTTGCGTCACTTTAGTCATTTTTCGCGTTTTTTCTCCTGAATTTCATCATGTTCATCGTTGTTTCCTACAATTCACATATGTACAAGATTAAGTCATAATTCAATCATTTTGCTCGTTTTAAAGTCATGTTTGTGACCTAAATAAGTGTGTAAAAACACACTTATCAACTTGCTTTGAATTTTTTATATAATGGACTGCATTAGACTATTCACCCTATTTTGAGTAGGGAAAAGGAACTACAGTAATCATATTAAATTTGGATTGTGAACTTTCCTTAAGAGGTGTAATTTTTTTCTTTATTGTCATTGAGAAAATCTGTTGTCTACTAGGCAGATGAAAATTTGAGATTGATTTGCTCTTCGCTACCGGAGGCTGTTGAGGCCTGTATTGATGCTGCTGGTTATGAATTTGATATTTCACAGTAGCAGACACTACTGAGAGCTGCGAGCTATGGACAAGCCTTTTGCAGGTTGGTTTGTTTGGCATTGTCTTACTGGTGTTTAAACGTTAGTATATTCAATAAAAATGACACTCTGTTCCTGTGCTTTGGATGAAGTTTTTATAATTTCTTTCTGAGCTGCTAGATACAGGATGTATATTGCACTTCATTTCATTGTACTATTTTCAAGAGTCATTTTTCAGATTAACAAGTTATGAATTTCATAATTAGGCTGGTCTTCCCTGTAGCTTTGGTGCTTTCCTGATTATGGTATCTGAGCTAACAAATAGGAAAAGAAGGAGAAGAAGTTGGGGGTCATGAAATGGTCAGATATGGGAAGGGGTGGCCAAAATTGTAAGAATAGATTTAACCGCCTATTCGTACCATGAACCATTATGTATTTAATTGTATGGATAGATCCAAACAATATTATGAGTTTGAAACATTGACTTTTGAGTCTACTGTACATTTGGTGAATTGGGCAGTGGGAAAAAAAAAATATGAACAGTCTTTCAAGTTTCCACAATAAATGTGGGAGCATTTTTTCAGAATGCATTTGTAAAAGGGCATCAGATTTTGGACACTGTGCTTATAGCGAATGAATGCATAGATTCAAGAATGCGCTTAAGGGCCCCAGGGATGCTTTGTAAGCTAGATATTCAGAAGGCTTACGACCATGTGAATTGGGGTTTCTTGTTATATATGCTCAGGCGCTGTGGCTTTGGAGATAAATGGTGTAAATGGATTCAATTCTGTATTTCTACTGTTTCATTCTCAGTTTTGGTCAACGGAACACCAGAGGGTTATTTCCGGAACAGTAGAGGCTTGAGACAAGGGGATCCATTGTCCCCATTGTTATTTGTCATTGTGATGGAGGCTCTCAGTAGGATGATTGAAAGAGCAGTGAGAGGAGGTTTGATAAGGGGTTTTATGGTTGATCAATTGCAGGTGTCTCATCTGTTATTTGCAGATGACACGTTGATCTTATGTGATGTAGATGTAGAACAATTCAGGAACTTGCGCCGTCTGTTCTTATGTTTTGAAGCGGTGTCTGGTTTGAAAATTAATTTGGGAAAGTCTGAGGCTATTCCAGCTGGGGAGGTCAATAATGTCGAGGAGCTGGCTGATATATTGAGTTTTAAGGTTGCGCAGTTGCCGATTATCATATCTAGGACTCCCGTTAGGGGCACGATTTAAAAGTACCCATATCTGGAATGGTATTGTAGAAAGGATGGAGAGAAGGTTAGCAAGGTGGAAGCGTATGTACCTTTCTAAGGGAGGTAGACTTACTCTCATTAAATCCACTCTCACCAATCTCCCTACTTACTTTTTGTCATTGTTCCCCATTCCGATTGCAGTGGTAAAGAGATTAGAGAGGTTTCAAAGAGAATTTCTGTGGGCAGGGTTGGGAGAGGAGAGGAGACTCCATTTGGTCAATTGGGGAGTTGTTTGTTTGCCGATGAGGATGGGAGGTCTTGAGGTGAGGAGCCTTGTGTTGTTCAATAAAGCCTTATTAGGCAAGTGGTTGTGGCGATTTGGAGTGGAGAGGGAGAGTTTCTGGAGAGAAATAATTGGGGCGAAGTATGGTGTGACTGATGGGGGATGGTGTACATTTGAGGATCGTGGTTCTTATGGGGTGAGCTTGTGGAGGTATATCCGACGGGGATGGAGTGCATTTTTGGACAAACTGAAGTTTGTGGTTGGAAATGGTAATGAGATTAAATTTTGGGGTGATTGTTGGTGCGGAGATCAACCGCTGAAGGAGAGATTCCCTTCTTTGTATCGTATTGCCTCAGTGTCCACTGCCATGGTGAGTGATCTCTTAGACATTCATAATGGGAGTTATAGCTGGAATATAACGTTTAGGAGGGATCTTCAGGATTGAGAATTGGAAGATTATTCGCTGTTTATGACCATTTTACATGAGGCCCAAATTCGAGTTGGAGAGAGGGATTGCATCAGGTAGAGGACAGCACAGGATGACATTTTTTCGGTTCGCTCGTGCTTTGGTTCCCTCATGGGATGTGTGAATAATTCATTCCCATGGAAGTTGGTATGGCAGTGTAAATTGCCTCCTCAGGTGGCATTCCTATTGAGGACAGTTGTGAGGGGACAGGTCTCAACGGTGGATAATTTTCGTCGTAAAGGCTTTTATGTAATCGAGTGGTGTTATATGTGCAAGAAGGATGGGGAGACGATCGATTATTTGTTCATTCATTGTGATGGTGTACGTTGGATTTGGAACAGTATAATCAGTTCACAATCTATGGATTGGGTGATGCCTCGTCATATAGAGGACGTGATACGGGCATGTCGTAGAAAATTTCGGGATAAGGATAGCAAACTAGCATGGCACCTTATCCCAGGCTGCATTGTTTGGTGCGTGTGGAGAGAAAGGAACAACCGTTGCTTCGAAAACCAAACAAAGACAAGAGAGCAGATAAGAGAAACATTTTACTTTACCTTGTATTCTTGGTTTAATGCTGTGACTAGAAATCCTGTAGATGAGTTGCCTAATTTCATGTTTTTCCTTAATAGCTTAAAGTGATTGTACACCCCCCGTGTATTCTCTTTTAAGTAATAAAATTATTTGATTACCTATCAAAAAAAAAAAAACAATGCGATGCTCAATGAATATGATGTTGCCTGGTACTTACAATTCTCTTTTGGTTTTGGTCTTCATCATTGTTTGGTGAGTTTGAAATAAATTAAATACTTTCTTATTAATATGAATAAAGGCATTCTCAACATTAGTGCTCGATATGTCATGGAACTTTTGATTGACGTAGAGTTGCTTCCTGAAATGAAGTTTTCTGATTTTTGCATGAACTTTACTTGGTGCAGGATTGCTCCTTGCTTAAAGTTACTATTGTACATTTGTTCATGCTCAGAAAGAACATTGTTTTCTGATTTTTGTCTTGGTAATGATATCCAGTTCGCTTTGGCAGCCAATTCCAACGTGACCGCATTCAAGAAATGTGCAAAACATTACGGGTACTAAATGCTGTACGCCACCACGAGATTGGCATCCCTCTAAGCATTCAGCAGTACAAGGTCTTAGTGCTAACTACTTTATGTCTGAAGTTGCAATTCCATGTCATGCTTCTTTAATGAAAGCAACTTAAAATAGTCTCCTTGCAGTTGCTTACGCCAGCCATGCTGATTAACCGTCTGATTAATGCTCATAATTACCTACTATCTCTTCGTATATCAGAATACCTTGGAATGAATCAAGTAAGTTTTTCAAAACTTTATTTCCTATTTAAATTGTATAATACATTTGTTCTTTTCTCATCCCTTCCTTCTCTTTCGGTAGAGCCTTTGGTTGCCTAACAGTGGTTGACCTTGGTACTTTACATCCCCTTTCGCGTTGTTTTTACTCAGTGTGATATTATACTTTCGAGTACCACCATACCTATTTTGTTTTTTTATGATGGATGCTTATATTTGCTTCAGTGAGTCTATATGAGCTGCTAACTAGTTCGTTTCATTTGAAATTGGAACATGAATATTTTTGGTCCTGTACTATGCAATGAGAATTAAAATGCTTTCCGTTAACAGTTGAATTTACCATGTTAAGATATTCATAATAATTGATGTTAAATGATATGTACAAGGTCTTAGTGCTAACTACTTTATGTCTGAAGTTGCAATTCCATGTCATGCTTCTTTAATGAAAGCAACTTAAAATAATCTCCTTGCAGTTGCTTGCGCCAGCCGTGCTGATTAACCGTCTGATTAATGCTCATAATTACCTACTATCTCTTCGTATATCAGAATACCTTGGAATGAATCAAGTAAGTTTTTCAAAACTTTATTTCCTATTTAAATTGTATAATACATTTGTTCTTTTCTCATCCCTTCCTTCTCTTTCGGTAGAGCCTTTGGTTGCCTAACAGTGGTTGACCTTGGTACTTTACATCCCCTTTCGCGTTGTTTTTACTCAGTGTGATATTATACTTTCGAGTACCACCATACCTATTTTGTTTTTTTATGATGGATGCTTATATTTGCTTCAGTGAGTCTATATGAGCTGCTAACTAGTTCGTTTCATTTGAAATTGGAACATGAATATTTTTGGTCCTGTACTATGCAATGAGAATTAAAATGCTTTCCGTTAACAGTTGAATTTACCATGTTAAGATATTCATAATAATTGATGTTAAATGATATTTAACTCCAACTGGTGGTTCTTTTGTTTCTTAAGTTTGTTTGGGAGACTAACAAAGTAAAATAGTTTTATTATAAAAATGAAAGTAAAATCAGTTAATAAAAGACCTCGTTTAGAAAATGACCTGACACTATTCTAATTGTAAAAGGGACATTTTGGTTTATCTATAGTTCTCTTTTCTGCAATTTTTCAGCATCCTAGAATTATAATTTTTAGAGAAATTTATTTGACATGAAATTTGATGTGCAATTGCATGCATCTCTATGCAAAGAAAATTGTGAAGGAGAATATAAATTGAGCAGGGTTCCAGATGAATAGTGTATTACACAAACAGATCCCATGCTTTGTCTCTTTCTCACTTCCTATGTTGTTCGGATGTATGAATAATTTCTGTCATAGTAGGGTATATTTTGAGCATTAATGTTGCTGGTTTTTATTTTCCTTTTGTTTTATATTTCTACTCTTCTAAGTATGCTTGTTATCAATGTCAATATTCCGAAATTTGAAGTCTGTGTTCCTTCACAGCTTCGAAGTACAATATAAATAAAAATCTTGTAATGCTTTTAAGTCGATAAAATTACTTGTCTTTAATTTGCGGAGTATATATTCTACATTTTTATATTTTTGAAGGTGTTAATTGAAACTGCTTTGACATTATCAAATAGATGACTATGAACACATAAATAATTATATTGCTTTTATCCAGTTTTCAGTACAATGTTATTTATTTATTTACATATGAGCAGCTCAGTGTAAGATACTGTAATTTAAGAACCTTTTTTCAACTTTTAGTGGCATGAATTCTAGTGGGGACTATTTTGATATGCTTATAACACTCCCCATCCCCACCCCTCTTGGTGGGACAACGACCCTCCACCACCACAGTAAACAAAGAAGTAAAGAAGAGAGATGTCTGGTCTTCTGGTAACAAGATATCAAAAGGAATCTTTGCTAAATAGTCAGAGGCAGTTCCTCCTGCTACGTCTGTATAATTAAATATACAAAAAAGGATGAAGCATCTATTGTTTGGTAAAGTGTAATTCTGCATCATTGTTGCATGCACTAATATATTTCTGTTTTTGTTGTTTTGAGTAGGAAGTTGTGATAATGCACTGGGCTTGTACTAAGATAACAGCATCTTTGGGGATTCCTGATGCCAGTCTCCTAGAAATTTTACATGATAAGGTTAGTGACTTTAACTACTCCATTAACCTATCATTTAAACGATTTCTCCAATTTAATTCACTCCCTCCCTTCGTTTTTTTTTTTCATGAGACCCCATGTCTGATATAATGATACTGAAATTGCAGCTGAAGATATGCAAAGGCATATCTTATGCTGCAGTTGCTGCTCATGCAGATAAGAGTGGCCGCAGGAAGTTAGCTGCCATGCTAGTTGAACACGAGCCACACTCCTCGAAACAGGTCTTGGTTTTCTTGTGCCCTCCTATCTGTTTGTTCTAGCCATTTTCTATTTAAAAAGAGTGATTTGTTCTTCATTAAAGTTACATAAAAACATAGTGGGCGTCTTTTGAGAATCTTATTGCATTAATAAGTTTGTTCTTATATCAGATCCCTCTCTTGCTAAGCATTGGAGAAGAAGATACTGCACTCATGAAGGCTATAGAAAATGGTGATACTGATCTTGTCTGTCTTGTCCTGTTTCATATCTGGCAGAAGGTGTGCAAAATTGTAGATTGAATAGCTTTTTATTGTGCCTATACTATCTACTTGCTCTGAGAATCTTTTATTGCATTTTCATAGTGATGTTTATTATTGTAGAGACCCTCGTTGGAGTTTTTTGGAACTATACGACCCAGACCATTGGCCCGCGGTTTATTCATAACTTATGCACAGTAGGCACTATCGATCCTATCAAAGTACTGTAGATTACAGGCTTCTTCTGTTGAAAACCTTCTTTTCTAATGTAATTTGTTTCTAATCTTTCTTTTACCAGATGCTATAAACATGAATTCTTGAAGGACATTTTCCTATCCACTGGTCAACTTCAGGTAGGTTCAAGTTTCACTTGTGTCATGAGGTCTTCCCTTTCTCAAATCAAATAATAACTAATGTATAATGGGATAAGACACTAATGATTCTGAGTCTATATTCCTAAATTAATAGAAGTACCAATTGCTTATTTATTACAAATTGGACTGATGGACAAAGGAAGATATTTTCCTTTTCATTCTTTTCTTCCCCACAAGGCTGTGGTTTTATTTTTTTTATTTTTTTTCCTTTTATTTTAGTAGTCATATGTTCTTTCTCCATCAAATTGTAACATCTTGTGTAGTTTATTGGTAGAAATCTAAGGGATCTGTTTTAGTATATTACAATTGGACAATTATGCTGCTGTCAAGTGCTTTTGAGAGATTGAGCATTAGAGCTTGTTGATCTTGTATACTATTGCTCTTATGATTTAAGGTTTCTATTTTGTAGGATGTTGCTTTTTTATTGTGGAAACAGTCCTGGGAACTAGCAAAGAATCCAATGGCTAGCAAAGGATCTCCACTTCATGGTCCACGCATAAAACTCATTGAAAAAGCGCAGCATCTCTTTTCAGAAACAAAGGAACACATATTTGAGTCGAAGGCATCTGAGGAGTATGCAAAATTGTTAAGGTGCCCATTGTATATTGTATTTATTAGCAAGTGATATTCCAATTAATGGTTCTCACTTTTTTACCCAAGGCTCATTTGACTCTGAATAACTCCAATATGACTACCATCCAGTACATCATGTTATTTGTGCTTGTGATTTGCACATCTTTACTTTCTAATACTTTATGACCATGTTTGTTCCCAATCGATGAATTCTCATCATACTGCTTTTGGACTAATGCCTTCTGGGTAGCCTTTACCGAAATCTCATGATACATGCTGTTTTTCACCAAATATTTCCAAAATTCTTAATTATTTTATTTGTAATGGAATCAAATTCTGTCTGCTTGAGTGAACCATAAATTTGTAACTTCGTATCAACTATCAATTAATGGCAGAATGACTCGATCGCTTCAGAATTCCAGCGGGATAAGTGAAATTCTTAATAATGTCTCATTTCCGCTACATTTGCAACCTGTTTAGTCCATATAAGGACATCAAAAGGTTTTTCAACACCAATCTATGTAATCATTTCAGTCTTGTTTATTATGAAGCATCTCTTCTCTTAGTCTTTTCTCTTCTGCCCTCTCTACCTTTCCTCTTCTGTTATTTAATAGTCTGAAATATGAGCTATGTTTAATGATGTAGATTTGCGCAATTCTGATTAAACTTTTCATGGGTGATTAGCAATCAATAGCAGAATTCAGCATGACTTGGAGGTCAGCACTAAGCAGGCCATTTTTGTGGACTCTAGTATCAGTGACACTATTCGTACATGTATTGTACTAGGAAATCACCGGGCTGCAATGAAAGTTAAAACAGAATTTAAGGTTTGTTTCCACATTTCACTCCTGCTAAACAGTATGTATTACCAAGTATACGCAGGAAATGATCTTTCAGCATTCTTTATTTCTATCTGTTATAGGTTTTTTTTGTGCAATTTATTTGCATCACAATCATTTTTGTCAATGTTTTTGACATGTTTCAGGTTTCAGAGAAGCGATGGTATTGGCTTAAAGTTTTCGCTTTAGCAACAATTCGGGACTGGGATGCCGTGGAAAAATTTTCAAAAGAGAAAAGGCCACCGATGGGTAAGCCCTTTTAATTGATTAAGTTCAATATAGAAAGTATAACCTGCAATATGTGTCTTCATATGGTACTCCAGTTTTCTTGTATCTGTTTGTGCGCGCTCTCTAAATAAATATTGTAAGCGATGAATGAATGACTGTGTCCCTTGCAATCATGGGTTACAAGTTTGCTAGGAATGGTCACGGGATTAGTTCTTCATCCTCCAAAGTTTTCTTTAAAGTTATTATAGCCCTTGTTTGTTTCCCATTAATTGGCCATTAAAATGAAAAATATAATCGTTATCCATCACATCAAGCGATCATATTTGAATTTTTATCTCTTGTGTGAGGTATATTTTTCATTCTCATTCTTACATTAATGGGAAACAAATGGGGCCTATATTTCTCAGTTGAATTTCAATATAAAAAGAGATAAAAGTCCAACCTAGACACCCTGGTATTTTCTACTTTTGACCTTTTTCTTGGTGAGAAATGAGCCATCCCATTGGCCTATTTCAGAGAAACTTTTGACAGTCGTTATTGAATGCAGAATCACTGAGGTTAGCTCTTTATCGCTTTTGTGTTTTCACTTCAAGTACTGTCATCTGTAGGTTACCTGCCATTTGTGGAGGCATGTATTGATGCAGATGAGAAAATTGAAGCCCTTAAATATATACCAAAACTTACTGATCCCAGAGAGAGAGCCGAGGTAGAATTCATTTTTGTATCTGCACCCTAGTGTTTTATAGTACTTACTTTCAGAAGCAAAATAGGCATTGTCCGTTCAAACTGCTGACTGTCCATGCTGTATAATTCACGAACAGGCATATGCTAGAATCGGAATGGCCAAGGAAGCTGCAGATACTGCATCTCAAGCGAAGGATGGCGAACTGCTTGGGCGACTGAAATTAACTTTTGCACAAAATGCAGCAGCTTCTTCAATTTTCGATACACTAAGAGATCGATTGTCCTTTCAAGGCGTCTTTTAGTTCTTACTCACGTCGTATTTGAAGCTATGAAGCTGTTGTTTGATGCTGCCTAGGCCATATGATTTTCTTTGCATTGCAACACCGTCCTGCAACGTGTGTAGTCCCTGTTGCACTTCTGCCATTAGTTCCTTCTATGTATATTTGAGTAATTTTGTAGCTGATAGCAGTCTTCTCTTATTCTAATTATTACAGCTTGTTCCTTTGCTGTGTAATTTTATTTTATTTTATTTTTCTTTTTCTTTTTCCGTCATAGTGACATTTTGATATGTTATAAAGATGAAGGCTCTGTTTTATATAACCCTTTGCTTTGATTTTCTGTTTGTTATATAATGTAATTTACAGTTACTGGAATTTTACATATTTACATGATGAGTTTCATAGTAATGGATAAACATATTCAAAACATGCATGTAGATACAGATCTAACGAAAGACCTAATAATACTTGAAAATTATAGAGTAGGGACTTAATTTGTTAAGCAGAAAGCACGAACTCATTTTTCTAACAACCAAGTAGGTTGAAATGCTCAAGAATTCCAACGTATACTTCAATAAAATTAAAAAGTAATAATAATTAAAAAAAAACAATTAAGGATTGTAAATCAATAACAATAATTAAATCAACAGTTGGCTCCGGAACTTACGAAAAAATAAAATTTACCAATTGAAAAGCAGTTAGGTTTAGAAAGGAAATTATTTGGTAAGAGCGACATACCTAAGTCTTGGAGGGAAAAATCGAGGTAAGTTGGAAGGCATAATTTTGAAATTAAAAAACTCGTGCAAAAGGAGAAAAGTGAAAATTCATTAAACTAAAAAAAAAAAAAAATTCAAAATTATTTTTTAGCGATTAGCTGAACCCACAAACCCATGTGAATCCAACCCTGCTTTGTAGTGTCGTTTATCCATCATAATTTTACCACAGTTCCATCTTTTCCAACTTGATCTCATGCAAGACTCTTCTACCTCTTGCAGTGAAATTGTCACTATAGTTAAAGCGAATTTATCAAAATAGAGCTGCATTTGCATAGCATTATACACATCCCGGACATATAATAAGTGCATGTTTGCTATACAGTATTGAATCTGGTGGTCAACAATTGTACAAATTTGGTAAAGTTTTCCGGGCGAACGATTGGTCAAGGTTGACGGGCACTTGTAGTACGACAAAAGAGTTATTGCGATGCCCGTGGACCAACTCCAAAAACATCTAATTCTTGTTACTTAGCCCTGTTTGTCATCCTTTAAAAATTTAGCCCTTGTTTGTTTATCATCATTTCCTCATTAAAATGAAAAATATGATCGTTATCCATCACTTCAAACCACCAATTTTGAATTTCTATCTCTTTTATGGGGTCCATAATAGCTTTATTTTTCATTCTCAATTTTATGAAAATGGGAATCAAACAGGACCTTAAATTGTTTACTATAGGATCATTCTCTATCATACATTCATATAATAAAATAATCTACATACAAACCATAAAGTTTTCTTATTTTCTAACCACACATTTTTCAAAAAATACTATTCAATAACTCATTATTCCCAAATAAATTTTATCAAACAGACTCCTAAATACACAGGAAGAAATGTAAATAACCATTAGAATGGTTTTAGTTGTCATTTCCCATGGAATGAGCATTCTGTCTGCTTTTGACAAGATTATGACGGCACTACGAAGTTGAAATTTCTTTGATACTTTTTCTATTCAGAAAGCTACAACTTTTAATAAAATTCTTAATACAAATCTTCATTTTCGTGTTCAAACCGCGTTTCTAAAGTGGACTTTGAAAGACTTAGACCGAGGAAGATTCCAGTAGTGTTACCCAAGAGATTTAAATCTTGGTTAATTTTCGTATTATTGAATCAAGACTTTGTTTTTAATGTTCTGATAGAGAAGTCACCGATTTATTTAGTTATATTTTTATCTTTATCATGTCATTTAACGCAGCGACACATCAATTGATTGATCAATAGACGTAATATGAATTTATTTACCGATTAATTTATGTAACCGTTGTTTAGTTTAAGTTAAGCAACGATGCTTAGGGTCTATTTGGTACGGCTCTTGAAACTAAAAAAAATTATTTCAGAACATGTTTTGATAATTTTCTGAAAATAGAAAAATTTTTAGAGGAAGTTAATTTAACTTAGTTTTCTCATAAACTTCTTCTACAAAAAAAAGTAGAAGTCCTTGCAAATGTACGTACTATTGATACATTATTTCTAGTATTTTGAACATTTCAAAATACCAAATAGTTAGATGTGAATTAGTCCATATAAAAAAGAGGGTGTGCATGATTCACATTCACTTCTTTCTCTCATATAAGTATATACTTAAAGAAATTCCAATTTTATTTTAAACTTTCAAGAACACATTCACCAGAACACAAAGAATGCGAAAAGGGGCTAAAAGTGCATAGGAGTATCTATCCATCTGCCTTCATATCTCCAGCCAAAATGGTATATAATTCATCAACTTTCGCAATCACGTATGTATATCAAACACGCACACAAACACGAATATTACCTAAAGTTTTCATTATTTTTCTGCAGAAAAAAGCGGTTATAAAGGTGTCTATGAATGGCCCGAGGTGTCGCCCAAAGATTCTCAAGTTTCTAGTTCAAGTTTTAAAGCTAATGGTACCCTATGAAGTCATATGGAAAATAGGGAACAAATCTACCAGCAAAAGAAGAAAAAGGGCCATGGAGATTGCTGCCACTTCTCCAGGTTTGTGTTAAATATTATAATATATTCGAAAAATAAGACAAATTTGTGCAAAATATTATGTTTTTTCCAACATGTAGGAGTGCTATCTATAGCAATACAGGGGGACGAGAAGGACCAGCTAGTTGTGACCGGAGAAGGATTCGACTCTGTTAAACTCACCATGGTGCTAAGGAAAGAGGTGGGCTTTGCTTCGGTTATAAGTTTTGGACCCGACAAGAAATGAGGTTCGTGAGAGTTAGAGAGTACTTGTACGAGGACGAGGTGCAGAATCAAGAATGTCTATCACATAGCCGAAAGCTTTGAAAATCTTAAAATTGAAGGGAATGAATGAGTAGTACTATTTGTAATTTGGTGTGCTCTATATTGTTATGTCTAAGGTGTTACTACTGATACATGCAAGAAGAAACTACACTGCAAGTGTTATCAGCAAATTTTATTTTTGAATAAATATTATTTGGATCGATATCGAACTACTTTATCGCACATTAATAAATTAAATATTCAGCGGAAAAATATATTTGAGTGTACATCAATTAATTAGTGGATCATTTTATTTCAGTTCCTTCCATGAACTTATTCGTTGTTGTATAAATTTTGTAATTATGCTGATAACAGTGACATGACGAACTTTTTTTTTTTTTTTTAAATGAAAGATGATGATTATTATTTTTTTTAAATTCCAAGGTTAACAAAGCAATTAACCCTTTACAAATTAAAAATTAGAACAGTCTTTCCATAAAAGAAAAAACATTTTTTATTGCAGTCCAATGAAGATGGACTTTTCCTTTCTTAATGACCTCTGATAATAAATCCAAAAAGTACATAAAGGTTTTGTTTCACTCTGATAATAACATTTTTGTTGCGCCCGGATGAACACGGCAATCCAGAAATAATAATGATATTCACAGTGAAAATTATCGACAATCATCTTACATGGTATAACAAATTGCCATGTGCATGCCACGTATGACGACTACCGGCAATCTTATTCCAACTATTTGGTTTGAAGTTAACACGAAATATATATATAAAAAAATTAATTTAATCATATATAAACATTAGCTAAACATAATAATAATTTAAATGAGTAAAACTTTGTCCACCTTTTAATTTCATCTTTCTTGAGTCTTTAATACGGAACGTGTGATCACCAAATCATATCTTTCGAGTTTAATTTTATGCAAAAAATATTAACTAATATTAATATGACCATAGACTTAACTTTTGTTTGGAAAGATTAATTTATAAATAAATAAATAAATGAATAGTGTTTTTGAATTCATTAGCCCGAAGGGATATGACATATGTCGAATATATCTCACGGCGTTGATTTTGACGTAGACATTCTCACAACAGTAAAGACTTTTGTTATACAAATGTTGTGATTTTAATTGCCTGTAAAATCTCACAACATCCTGATTTTTCTGTTTCTTATTTAATTAATTAATTAATTAATTTTTGCATGGGGTGTTCAAAGAGTAAAAAATTGATCGACGCGCTTAGATGGATTTGAGGTGTATGAGAGATTCTATACGATTGTATAGCTTTTCACTTACTGGAAGTTTTTATTTTTGATAGCCCGTAATTTTTTTTTTTCGATTTGAAGATTTTCCATCTTTATATTCAATAATATTGAAAAATCGAGGAATTGATCTAAGTTTTTGACACAAACTCTTGTTTGTTCCATCGGTTATAAGTTATAAAGCACAAATGGTACCCGAACTTTTTAAAAAGATACACATAAATTTCATTTTTCTTGACCAATACCCAAGCTTCCAAATAAGTTCTTAACATCTTTTATAGATATCAATTTTTCATAATCCGTACCCGATAGTTTAAAAATAAATGCTCATCTATACCTAATTTAACTAGTTGTTAATAACTCTAGACAACCGATGGCATTAATCAACTCCTTTAGCAACATAGTAAACACACATGATCAAGAACTCTACAAAACACACTCATTGTTGACCAAATGCACATCTTTAATCATTAAAGTGAATCTTAATTTCGTCTCTCTTTTGCTGTTGAATTGTGTTATTACGATATTAATTGTTATTGAATGAGGTTAAAAAAAAGATGTGAAAATGTATAGGCAACATAAAATTAACATTTCAGAGCAATTTGGGACCATAGATTTTGAAAAAAAATAAAAATAAAAAATGGATGATTGTTGTGAGGACAAGTATGGCAATTTTCAATAATGCAAAAATACGAGATCCAATAAGAAGGTTGGCCCGGCGGCTTGACTTAAAGTCAACATATTGCACTTTTATTCACACCCGTTAATTGGATTAATGAAATAATTGATGTCACAGCTTAGTTAGCAAATAATTAAACCGTAATTCTCCATTTTTAATTATGTTAATTAATACTGGGCTTGTGCAAAAAAATCTAAAAGAAAATCGACGAACTCAGTGAAACCAAACCAACTCAAGTCGGTTTGCATCGGTTTGACAGGGTAATTGATTTGATTTTTTATTTTTTATTTTTTTTAAAAAATAAAATAATAGTGGGTCGGTTCAGCCATGGTTTGAAGCCTCAAACTGCTGATTAACCAAACTGATCCAATGAACTTACATGTTTATATTTTTTTAGTTATTTGTATATTTTGGAAGAAAAAATATTAAAACTAATATAAATTTTATTAATGCAAGGAGCAAATCACTTGTGGATTCTTACCTAGAATATTATTAGGGGTGGAAATGGTCTAATTCGATTCGGTTCGGTTCTCGAACCCGAAATTTTCGGATATTTAATAAATGAAACTGTCGGATCTAATTTTAATTATGAAACCGTTCGGGTTTGATTTAGTTCAATTCGATTCAGTTCCATTCGATTCCCAGGTTCTATACTATACTTAATTTTTTTTAATATTTACAAAATTACATTAATTCAACTAATGACATATTCAATCTTAACTCTTACAAAATAACGTAGTCGAATATTATATGTCTTTTGTAAAATCATATTTTTCGGTTTGATTAAATTAACTAGTTAGTAAATTTATTTAGAAAAAATAAAATAATTTCACTTATTTAAAATAAATAAATTAAAAAATTAAGGAGATTCAATTTTTCAATTTTTTTTTATTTAGAACGAGAACTGAAACGAACCCGTCAGTTCTCGATTCAGATATCCGTTCAGATATTTAATTTAAAAAGAATTGCTCGATTCAAAAATTTTGTCCAACCCTACATATTACCTTGTTTGAGTTCTATTCTTTGAAAAAAAATACATTTTTAAATAATATTTGACATCATTTAATAAAATAATATTATACATAAATTCAAAATTTCTCTAATTTTTTAACCTTATGTTTCTTATTAATATACTATTTAAAAATATATTTTTTATATAAAAGGGATGGGACTCAAACAAGGGTCAAGAGTATAATATTCTATGAAAAATAATATAATTTGTTTTAAAATATTTTTGTGGGGACAAGTACAGAAATTTTCAATATACAAGATCCAAGAATATGCTTGGCCTGGCGGCTTGACTTAAGGTCAACATATTACACTTTTATTCACAGCCGTTAATTTGACTAGTGAAAAAATTGATGTCGCAGCTTTGTTAGCTAATAATTAAACTGCAATCCACCATTATAGTAGGCCAGTGCCGAAAAAATTGACCAAATCAATGAAATCGAACCAGAGTAAGTTTGAATCGGGTTGAGAAGATAAGTGATTTTTTTTTTTAATTTTTATTTTGGACAAAACTATGGTGGGTCAATTCAACTATGTTTGAAGCCTCAAATCGCTGATTAACAAAACAAATCCGATCCACTTACATGTTTATATTTTTTGTTTTGTTTTGTTTTTTTTTAGAAAAAAATAAAAATTAGAAGTTAAGTCCTAATCTCATAATTATATATCGATTCTCTCCAACCTATGATGTTACCAATAAATATTAGTATTGAAAATTTCCTTTCATAAGTTCATTATGTTATACTTGACTCTTTTTTTTTTTTTTTTTAATTCAAGCAATCAGGCTACATAATACATAAAAAAATAACACAATTCTTAAGTTTTCTATTGACCCATCTCTATTAACCTGATTTTATTTGTCATTCAATAATTCTTATAATATAAAGTTATTTAGTTATTTTAGTTATTGTATTCCAAATGGGTCCAAAATTCAGACAATTTTTTTTTTTAAATTCAATTTGGACTTATTGTCCAAACCAACTGACTGAACTGAATCAAACCAAAATTGATTTTAGTTTTGGTTCGATTTGATTTAAAAGCTATAATCGATTTGGTTTGGTTTGGTTCGATTAAGAGTTATAGTAGATTGGTTTTGGTTGAAATTCACCCAAATCGACTAATTTGATTTTGGTTTTGGATTGAAATCGAAACCAATTGAAACCAAATCCCTCACAGGCCTAATGAATACAAGTAAAGTGATCATCTTGAAACAATAATAAATTTAGTGATCAATATCGAATTTAGCTAAAAGTATCAATATATGTAACTTTTTAAAATAACTTAGATGAGTAGTGATATAACCTAAATGAGAGTTAATTGTTCCAATAGTTACTGAACTTATGTCCATAATTTTGATTGGTCATTGAAATTTAAAATGTCGAGTTTTGTTCATTGAAATTAAGTCCATGTCTTCGATTGTTTATCGAAATTTAAAATGTCGAGTTTTGATCATTGAACTTTGAAAAATGCTATACATTACTCACTATAAACTCGACATTTTAAATTTCAATGAGCAACCGAAAACATGGACCTAAGTTCAATGATCAAAGCTAGAAATTTTAAACTTCAATGACTAATCAAAGAAGTGGACATACGTTTAAAACACTAGAACAATTAATTCCCTAAAAGAAGTAAGACTATAAAAGATATGTTTTGAGTGATGGAGCCTAAGAAGTAACTTCTAGAGCCCGACTAATTGCGAAAACAGCTTGAAAACAATTTATGCCGTAAACTTCTTGTTAACAATTTAATTTATGTGGGACCAATTAAGATTAGATTTACTATGACATATTCAATAGTTTCTCATATGATCTACGTTTTAAGACTAACTAAGCATGGTTACGTCATTGCTGACACAATGGGTCATGAAGTCCTACGTTTACACGTTTTTCAATCAACAAATATATATTTTAAACTTTTGTCAATTCTATCGTGCTACACACTAATAAAAAGTGTTATAAGAGGAATAAAATAATTAAAAGTTTGTTTGAAGAGCATTTACAAATTGTTTAATTAATTAATAAGTAAAAATAAATTATAAATAAATGAGTAGTAATTGTGAATCTCACGAAATGTGTAGATAAAAACTGAATTATTATTTATAAACAATTTATAAACATTGGGCAAAAATAGTCTAATTCGTATTATATTTATAATAACAATGACTATGTTGTACACTCTAAGAATTTGATAAATTACAAATCATTTGGAAAAACAAAGTCATTCACGTTTAGGGTGTCAAGTGAGATGTGTAATAACTTGCAAGTTAACACATACATAATTCTTTAATAATCATTTCTTGTCCACACTCATTTTTAACTCACACATTATTTCTAAAAAAA